CTGAAACACGAAATCGAGCCCTTTTGCGCTATTCGTTTTAACAACTTGAGCCCCTTCCGAGCAGCCTTTGCAAAGGGATCAAGAACGTGCGCAAATTGAAAAAACGAATCTGGCGTACCCGACTTCGGCATGCAAATTTCCTCTTCTGCTCTTATCAACTTTTCTTCGCTGGTTCTCTTCGATCCTAAAGAACACAGACTTCAGAAACTGCGGGGCTGGATTTGGTATTTCTGAGGTACCAAATCCAGCTCCGCTGTTTCTTAATTCGGCGTTTTGTTGGACCGAAGACCGAGGAGAACAAGCGAAGAGCAGTTGATACGAACAGAATAGAAATTGGCATGCCGAAGTCGGGTACGCCAGACTTCTGATTTGCAATTTGTGCAGAGTTGTTTTTTCGCACGGCTGCCCGGGGGGCTCAAGTCTTTCTTAAGCAGTGCTTTTGCCGCACCATTTCTGCTACGACTCTTGCAATATTACAACGACTGCTTCAGCGACGACACACGACGTCGGGAACGGCTGCTGCTGCGATTTCTCTTTTCCTGTCTGTGTTTCAGTGTTGTTGGTACCTGTATCCGATTTCACAGCTTGTGGCATATTCCATGTTTGACTTGCTGCCCACGTGAGGAGCAGTGTTAAAGCACCTCCCGAACTGCTGGCGGCCGTGGATGGCTTTCTGAAGGATTTCCGACCACAGCATCTTGCCTGTGCAGCATCGAGTTTACAGAAAATTCTAACCTGTAGTACATGTATCTGTATACTGTACGCATGGGCATGCGCACGTGCACTGATTCTGAGCATTGACTTCTCGTCTTTATGCGTTTTCGAGGCCGAGGTTTTGGCATCTTGTCGGTTCGTGAAATAAGGCTCGAAGCTCTCACTGATAGTCGCTTGGCTGCCTATCAGTGCGGAGTTGTGTCAGAACTGATGGACCGCGAGGAGATGCATCAAATCCATGTTTGCGCTCAGTGGTTGACTGCACGATGTTGCCTGCGCGTTCTTTGCCTTCTTGCTGATTTCTGGCCGCGCTTACCGTGCCAAAGACCTGAGCAGTTCCAGGCTTCCACATGGGTTTTCGCATTTCCAAGGTCAGCTACAGCCTTTCAAGGCATCCCTCCGTGAGGCCAGGGTGCGGGCAGGGTGTTCCGCCTCCACGGAAACAGCATCGAAGCCTCGCAGTGTTTGCGGCAGGATTAATAGCTTAATCGTCTCATTGAGCTTCAAGGCAAGAGTCTCAGGATAAGAAAACGTCCCAAAGAGTACTTCCGCTCGAGTTGGGGCTGCAGGGGGCTGCGGAGCCCTGCGCGTGCCACGTGTCAGGAGTTCCTTCGCCCAGACCAGCGTTTGGGAGCTGAGACGGGCCGGTGGTTCGGCGAGATCGCAGGACGGACGCCGCAGTGGAGTTGGGCAGAGCCTGTTTTGAGGCTGAGGCAACTTGAGTTCAGAGGTTTGATCAGGTCACCAGGCTTTCCCTCCTGGGCAGGATTTCAATACTCCTGGCGTCGCCGAGAAGAAGAGGCTGGTCTTGAGGTTGCTGGGTCGGCTCACACTGATAACCACAGTGATTCTACCGAAATGCGTGAAGCTGTAGGGTTGCTTGCGATGGAAGCTCCCGTGTCCATGAACGCCCTAGCATCGTCGCGAGTCATCTTTTCACACTGCGTCAGGCGGAACTGGTCTCCGGAATCTCAAAGCAAGACTTGCTGAAGGTGGCCTGCAGATCGGGTTGCAAGGCGCAAGGCTTCACTTGAACAGAGTCTGGGACCCGATATCGATGCTTCTACAATGTGCAGGTGCGAGTTCTAGTGTAGATAAGGCATTCACCGCTCTGTGAGCCACCAAGCGCAGCGATGCCATTAGGCTGACCCACAGACTTCGCATGCTGCTGACATGCCTGCAGAAAACTTGGCAATGCCACCCCAGCCAACGCACAGTCAGGCAATGCAGCCTGTAGAGCAGTGCAGACCGTGCAGCAGTGGACATGCAGGTGTTCGATGAAAAGATAGCAGCAGGCCTGACCGTCGAGAGTGTATGCATCTGCATCCACCGTATTGAGCAGCTGTCGATATCTGTGTTCCGCGCACCTTGATTCGAGATCGTGTAAAGCAGCGAATCAGGTCAGTTTATTCCTGCCGTGTTTTCTCGTTCCAGATTTTGTCATTTGCTGGCATACGGCTATATACGGCTTGGTGGCAGAACTTGTTCAGACAACAGACAGCTGAGGAATCTCGATGCTTAGCGCTACACACTTGCGAGTGAGTTTGAGTGAGTGAGGGTGTGCGTGTTTAGGTACGCAGACTTTTGACTGCAGACTTCATGCTTTTGCGAACAACATGCCATCGAAGCTAGCAACAGCAGCTGGGCGCCTCCGCCAGACTCCTGCTTGGGTCTTTCAGTTGACTTGCTCGCGACTCTGTCCGAAGGCGGTCTGCTGCGGAGGCGCGTGACCACAGCAGTTGGGGGGCCAAGCAGAAGCTGGAACAGTGGCTGTCACCAGAGTACCCTTGCAGGCATTGTTCATCTGGGCTTGGCTCTGTGCACTCAGGTTTTCGCTGCCTCCCCACAACGCAACCAGACACTCGTCTGATTTGCCCGGGATTTCTCCTCTAGATATACAGGTCTGCTCAACGGCAGATCAAGGGCTGTGATGGGCTCTCGTCACGGCAGTTCTGAGAGCATAGGTACCTGCATAGTAAAGTTGTTGCCCAGGGCCATGGCCGACATGAAGGAGGCTGCGCGGGCTAAGAAGATACTCGCCCCGGCCTCGGACTCCGAGAGTGCGTAAAGACAGGGCCGCCAGGGCAACACGAGGTCACTTGCCATTGCTCATTCCAGCACGCAGCATACTCTGAGAGGCTTTGCCTGCCTGTCTGTCATCCAAGCTCGACGAGTCTTCCAGTCCGTGTGAAGCGTGGGTGCAGTGCAGTCGGCATTTCAGGCAAGGGTACCATTCTCTCCATATTAAGAACCCTGCCCGGCCTCCGAATCGAGAGTCGTCGTCATTCAGCAGAAGCATGCAGAGGCACAAAACCGGTGGCCAGTAGTAATCACGCAGTCGTGCCGAAAGGCCGATGTTGATTTTTCCATCGAGTTGTGCAAGTACATCGGCTTTCCTGTTACGTTCAGCATCAAGCTTTGCAATCTGCAGTTTCTGTTCAATATAGAGGCATCATCACGAGATATCACCATGCCTGATGGTACCCACCGCTGCCTTTCCACAATCCCCCTCCTAACTCTCAGAGCACTTCCGATCACTTGCGAAAGGAGCTGCAGGCCCCTGAAACGAAGCTGTGATCATCAAGGGATGAAGGTCTGAGGGATGATGGCAAGATGGGTATTCTCAGGTCATCGAGGACCCGCTGCGCTTCGGCCAAGAGGCCCCCAAGTGGCCGCTCCGTTTCTTGGCCCAGGAGCACTGATGGCTTCTAGCTCCTACAGGCTTCCTGTACAGTCCAAACCCTGGGCCCTGGGTCTTGTCTTTCTGTGCGAGAGGGTTTTAGTGCTTCTGCTTCGTGACACGACATCTTGGTGTCTCTGATTTGGGAACCACCTGTTTTGCATGCTTCTGCAGTTGTGCATTCATGTGGAGTAGTCACTAGGTAGTGTCAGGCACGAATCCGTAGGGATCTGCGCAGCAGCCCAGGCGATCGAGATCTTGAGATGGAAGCGTCGCGGACCATCACCGGGCACAGCTGAAGCATAGCTAAAGCATAGAGGCTCATGCATGCAGCGCCTGCATGGCCTACATCTCCGAAGTTCTCAGGTATCTTCTCAGTCCACTACAATCTGTCATGGAGTTTCTGAAAACCTCGGTGCGCTGCAGGCAGAGGCTCTGTGCTAAGGCTCGAGGTCCAAAACCATCCGAGGCAATGCTTTGCAAAGTCAGAAGCTTGACCGCGGCTGGGTTCGTCGTGGGGCCCTAATTTTCGCGTTCGTGGTCCTCTGGCTCGCCAGGGGTCGCGCGGTGAACACACCGAATGCCTGCCTCGAGAGCCTCATTTAGATGGGCTGTTCCGTCACATCGGTTTTCGGCATATCAAAGCTTGCAAAATTTCAGTGTCAGACACAACGATCATCTATGTCCATGTCGATTCTGCGAGCGAGGCAATGTGCTCGTGAGCGGGGTGGCATTCAGCATGGCCATCGGGTACATGTTTGGCTAAGTTTGTCTGTTGGACACCGACGCTGCGGGGCGGAGTGTGCTGAGGTCATGACTGGCTGATCCTGGCGCTGCCGGAAGATCCTCGGAAGCTGCGGGTCCTTTGCCTTCTGACTAGGAGGGAGGGAACGGTGCAAAAAGGAGTTTCATCGTTCTGGGTTTGGTTCGGACGGATCCACTGGGCGACGCAAGGTCAGAGCTTGCGCAGGGTCAACCTTTGCCCTTCTCTGGAAGGTCAAGGTCGCCCTGCACAACAGCGGCATCCTCAAGAAGGTGGCTCTGATTCGTGCCTGGCGAATGAGAAAGAATACTTTCCAGTCGGCTGGCGGGGTGTCAGTGTGAGACTTCTGCAGATAGAAGTCTCCTTGTTCCAGGGCTTCGTCGAAGGCCGGCAGGAGCCAAGTCCGAGCACAGAGTATGGCTGTTTTAGGGGCATCGTATCCATGACCCGACCTTGGCTGACTACCCAGAGGGCTTTCACTTAAACAGATCAATACTGTGCCTGTGCAGGCTCCCGAAGGCCAGGCACTTAGTTAGTCCGATTCGTTTTGCAGTGCACTCCGGGTTTCCGGTAAATGCTCGCAGTATAGAGAGATAGCAATCGGCTGGCTTTCGGTTCAGACTCATGACGACAAAGACGAAGTCGGTAATGTTGGTTGGCATCGTCAACAACACTGAAGCCCACGCTTGGCTTTCAGTCACGACACAGGTCTGTCGCAATTTCTGGGCACATGAGCGTGTTGCCATGGATAGCATGCTAAGACGGCTAAGAGAAGATCCAAGAAGAAGAAGAAGTGATGCAAAGCTGATCCCGTGCTGATCCGGCGGATGGCTTTTGCGCGCCATGGCGGCGGGAAAGTACAGCATTCTGTTCGCGGCGCTGATCATTGCCGTGTGCTGGACAAGTGCGGTGCGGCCCTCGGCCCCCTTTGCTGCGGGTGAGAAAATGCGCTCTTTGTTTTGCCGCGGGCCGAGGTCTTCACGGTGAAGCTGCTCCAGGACCTCTTGGGTTTTATTTGGTGTCAAGTTGAGATCGAAGGGAGCACAGCATCAAGATGCTGCCTGCAGCCTCACTCGGGATCTGCGTGCAACAGACCGGACATGGGCCTGCTCACAGTACACAACGCCGGGCCAGCGCAGATGTTGCGGCTACGGTCTGGTGACAGGTTTTGGCAGGTCCACGTTCAGTTGAATGTAGCACAACCTCACTTGCAAAAGGAGAACTGCGACTTCAAGAAGCTTGGATGACGTCTGAACCACTCTGCTTAGAGCCGTTGTGACCAAGTACTTGCCTATTAGCCACCAAGCCGTCCAGCCCAGGAAGCCTTACCTGCTCACCTACTTACATGAGCTGGCTCTCATGGCTGCTGCAGCCCCTGGGCATGCACACAGGGCAGGACGTCGAATCCCCAAACCCGAAAACCTCGCACCCTTTGGCTTCGGAAGGTTCCCTTGGCTGCCTGCGGCCAGGGCCGTCGCCTCGCTCTGAGTGTCAGTGCCACACAAACGGTCCGTACTGCCACAAGCTTGAGTCAAAGGGCTTCGGGCTTTTGAGCACAAGCAAGGACTATGGGCAGCTTCGCGCCCACTGCTTTGCCGCGGCTGGGTGCCTTGGCTCCAGGCAGTACGCTGACACCCAGGCAGTTCACCCATTGGCCTTCAACCGCTTAATGCTGCGTCCACAAGGATGTCTTTCTTCCACAGGTCTGAGCATCTGTTTCGCTTGGACACCTATTCTTTTCTTCTCACCAAGGGCATGGGGCTGCTGGCTTTTGGCCACTGGGACATCGCCAGTAAAGCGCTTGTAGGCAATGAGGTTGAAGATTCGAGTAATAGTAACCTTTCTAAGCTCAAGATGCTCATGTTTTGCTTACTGCTTGCTTCTGGCATCATGCGTGGCCGTGCAGTTGCGACATTAGCTCAAGGTCTCAAGGTACTCATCAGTGGTGCCTTCCACCGGCCGTTTTCTGCGACCCTCAAGAAAAAATCACTCAAAGCAAAGGAGCCAACATCTCCTTCACAGCCGCCCTGGTCTTGACGACTGCGAGCTCTGCGATGACTCTGGAGTCCCCAGCCTGCAAGACGTCGCCGAAATTTTCCTTTACCTGGCGGGGCCATGATGCTGACCCTGCAGCAGCTGAGGCAGCTGACACCCGTCTTCATCGCAGGAGCGCTTAATGGTTTCTGGGGACCCTTGTGATTGCGTATGGGCTGAACGTCAGCGAAACGTATGAGCCCTGCAACAGTGACAGAGCCATGACTTTCGACCGCGTTCGGCCCAGACCTCGAACCGCTCGATCCCTTCTCCCCAAAAAACCCTGAGTTCATCTGAGTTCTTAGCCAGGACTCTCCTTCTTCTGCCTGCGCGAGAGATATCGGCCCTGCCAGCTCTTTTGGCTGGTGGTGGCTATCGCAGGCTCTGTGGTCACAGCGCGGAGTGATCTGAAGGAGCAGAGTTGACATTGGGCTCCGGTTCGTTTGCAGGGCATCCAAGCGTGTTTGCAACAGGTTCCTGAGAAGCCTGCGCAACCCTGACAGTCGATCCTCCCTCTCGTTGACGGAAACCAAAACAACCTCAGTCCTTCTGAGGAGTGTCATGTCGGAGCTTGTGACGGCTCGCAGCCGTTGCTGGGCGACTTGCTGGTTGCCGCTCGATTTGGAGCCCGCGTTCCATAGCACAGGGGTGCAGTGGGGTGCAGGTGCCCCGTAGTGTCGTTGCCTTCCTCCAAGGTGGTGACTTGCATCACAGCTGCCCTTTACATGGTGCTCTTTAAGCTCATCTTTGTCCAGGGCTGTGATTGGCAGACATTCTTTACATACTTCATGGTGAAGGGCATGGCTGTAGCCGTGTTCGGAGGCCTTGGTCTGCTGTTCCTGCCGAGCTCGCAGCTTGGGCTTCCCACAGGCTCGAAAGGCTGGTATTATTTGTCCATCAACATGATCACCAACATCTGCTTCAACCTGTCCCTTGCTTGGGGCATGTTAGTCGTTAGCCCCCTTGCCTGTCGACTCTTCGTATTGCTGGGCCTCCCGCTGTCGCTGCTTCTGGACTCCGCTCTGGGAATCGCCATCGTTTTCCAGCGAGTGCTCGGGGTTTTTCTGGTCACCTTGGGCGTTGCCGGCTTCGAGGCCTCCACAGGCGCGAAGAAGTCCGGAGAGCGCAGCGCAGGGGACCTCGAGATCGAGAACGTGTCGGATGCTCGGGACCAGGCCGAGGCCGAGTGCATCACCAGCCCAGCCGAGCTTGCGGACGTGGAGGTCTCCGACGAAAGTACCTCCCAGAGTCAGGAGACGGGAACTTGCGCATCCTCGTCCTCCTCCCAGGATGCTGGGCCTCAGAAGGGCCCGGGGGCCGTGTCGTCCTCCATCTTATGCATGCTGGCAACCAGCATTTGCTTGGGTGGGTTCATCGCGGCCAGCGTGGGGAGATGATTCAATCTACATTCCACGAAGCTCAGATTTCCTTTGGTCAGGCCCGCACGACTTAGCAGGCAGCTTGCAGAAACACCTGCCTTGACTCAGAAGAGATGCAACGTCATCTGCCGGCACTTGTGTACAACTGCTCGGCGAAAGATCATCAGATCCTTGAGCTTTCAGAAAAAGGCCAATGGCAGCTTCATGCCTTTTAGCTGATAGCCCACCCAGGCTCCCATAGCGACGAGCCTGGCACTTATTCATGCATCGTAGTGGGATGTCTTGCACCGCCCGCCAAAAGACTTTCTTGCGAAAGATTACCTTGGCTCGTCGGCGCCATTGGTCCCATTATCCGAGCGAGTTCCTGAGCCCGAACCGTGTCTCTTTGCCGGCGCGACTGCGCCCACATTCTGTCAGCATTTGCTCCTCGATCGTTCAGCCATGTAGCCGTAGCTAGGAAACACTGCCTGACCTGCGCGCTCAGGCCGACTAGCTGGGGATCGGAGACTCTTCTACTCCGCCCGGGACACCTCATCAGAAGGCTTGATTCTGGGTGGTTGTTTTTGTTTCGCAGAAGGTGTAGTGTACACTCACTGCACGCGTCACTGGATCGGCCAAGTATCCGAAAGCGAATTTCGCCACGATGAAGGTTCTATGTAGCAGTAAAGGTTTGGGGTTGTATGTCGTAATGCCGTAGCAGCGCTACTCGAAGCCTGTCAGCTTCTCCAATGTACAGATACTGACCTTGGTGTATTCGTCCTGTTACCAGATTCCGAAAAGCTTCAGGCTGCAGCCGAGCGAGGACCCTCTCAGAGCGTTCGAGCATGCGCAGCGCGCCCGTTGGTTGCAACAAAGACTTGAGAGCTGACCGGTGCTGGACTTGACTGTTTGCTGATTTGCAGTTGCTACCACTGCTGCCACTACTACCAGATTGCTTGTTTCTTCCTCTGCCGGTTGTCATTCTGAAGACTTGGCAAGATAAGTGCCCGCGCAGATGCCCCAGCCCGATGATCACCCAATGTGCTCCAACCTTTGCCCTCCTTGCAACAGTCCATTGCAACAAGTCTTGTGCAAGCTTGAAGCACGCGGGCGCAAGTCTCCCTTAGATGACCCGAGCTTGAACTTCTCTTCAGTTTTGCGGGGGTGATAAGGGGCTGGACTAGGCTCTGAAACCCTCAGCCCTAAACCCTTAAGACTTCAGATGCACCTGAAGAAGCCCCGACCTAACATACAAAACCCGGAAGAACTTGAGCGCCCGAGGCTTACGTCCGAGATTTTCGGTCCCAAATCCCAAGCCCTGGTCGAAAGATGGGTACTGCACTCATGTGCCCGACGAAAAACAGGGTAAACCTCTCAGCAGAAAGGGGTGAGCGAGGTTCTGGTTTCCTCTACTGGAAGATCCTTCACACCATGCTTGTCTGAGGCTGCAGATGGCGCAGCTTGGCTGCCTGATCCCGAGGTCGCCCGACCTGGTTGTGTCTGTATCGCGCGCAAAGGCTGCAGACCCAGGCAGTCCCGAAGATAGGAGGAAAGCCCCCGTCTGCAGAGCTCTGCATCTTCTTCAGATCATTCAGATGCATCAAGAGTTCGCAACTTAGGGCCCTCCTAGGGCGACAAGATCCACATCTGCGTGTACATCGGTAATCATCAGCTCCTTTGCAGGAGATGGCTCCGCACATTCCTCGCGGACTCCTCCTGCTGGCCCGCAGCTAGCTAAGCTGGATTCTCCCTGATTCTGTTACAGGTACAGGGCTTGGTCCGTCGTTTATGCCCGCTGGAGTTCGATGAGAATTTCTTGGGGTCCTTGCTTCCGGTGGTTGCCGGGCCTCGCCCGCTTCCGAGTAGAGTTGTGAGGTTGAGGGGCTGTTTGTTTCGAGCTGGTCATAGCCATTGTGGGGCCGAGTTAAGCGGTTCTTGCATGAATCGAGCGTGAGGAAGCTGGACAAGTTTTGCACGTCACGGCAAAGGATGCAGCTTCAAAGCGGATTGCTGGTACATCCCGTAGTAGCTAGACTGTCCCACTGATGATAGGCCAGCATACACGATGCATGCAGCCGTGTAGCTAAGGAAGACTCGTGCCTGTTTGCAAGACCAATGCCTGGTCTGGCTCAGGTCTTCAAAGCCTGGAAGATTCTCCTGTGCCCTTGCCTACTCTTCTCCCAGTCGAGGAGGCTCTGGGCAACCGGAGGGGGGCGGCAGCAGCGGTCGTGGCAGTCGCAGTCGTCGTTGTCGTCGCAGTAGTAGTTAGTGGTTGTAGTGCAAACACTTGTAGCAGCAGCAGTAGTAGAAGATGACATGACAGTGGAAGTAGAGGAGAAGCATGGCTGCCCTGGAGTTTGGGCATTTTTACACGGTCGCAACACAAGAAGTCCAACCACGGATATTGACAAAGGCTCGGCTGGTCGTTGGTTGGCATGACGGCAGACAGTCCCAGCAGTAAGCTTGGCAAGTCAAGTATCATCGTTGCAGCTCAGATGATCATCCGAAGCTTTCACGTCAATCAATCTTCGCAGTATCACTCGTGTTCGTTGCGGTAGTGTGAACTTGGGGCACTGGTGGTGGTGGTGGTGGTGGTGGTGGCGGTGGTAGAGGTAAGGATGAACGAGGTTCGGTTACGACTTCAGAGAAATCCTCGCCTTCGTCCTGCAGGTCTGCAGGCGATGCCCGTGGATGCTGAAAGCAGAGGATCGTGCTACTTTGAAGAGCACGGAGGTTTGCATACACACGCATACCACCTACGTCCATACATTGCACAACTGCATGCATACAATCCGTACTGTGGACAAGCACACGCGCCTTTCTTGCACATCCACGTGCATGTTTGGTGTGTCTGCATGTATTTAAGGCAAGCAGTGGCAAGCAGTTCCACGCAATGCAGTGTAAGGGACTGTAGTGTCCACACAGTCTTTGTAGACGAGCACCAGCACCAGGAAGGGCAGTAACTCATCCAGAGAAGTGAAGTCGAGCTCCTCAAACTTCCAGGTTGTTGGTGGCTTGAAATGCAATGTAATGTAATGTGATGTAATGCATTGTAACGTACGGTAGCTTACGTCTCCTTGGTCGCTTGTGTTGTGTGCTGCGGCTGCTGCTGCTTCTTCCGCTTGTGTCCTCGTTCTTTTCACTGTTCTTGTTGCTGTCGTTGTTTTTGCATCCAGAGCCCCTGCACTCATGTTTACGAGCGGATACGGTTTCTGCTGCCCGCATTGCCAACGTTTTCAGGCTCCATGAGGATCCGAACAAGTCAGCAGAAATGCACCAGAACAAATGGCCTGTGGAACCGTGTCAAGGATGGCGACAGCGACGAGGCCGTCGACCCTTCGTAGCTATCCCTTGCTTTTGGCGCTACCTGCCTTGTGAGTTGTGTATGATAGAGCATCTGCGTAAGCATATATACATGAGAGTCTCAAGCTGTTTCACAACCTGTGGCCGGAGCCGTCGCAGTAACTGTTCTGAAGGCTGCACACCAGTCTTACGAGCTTTGATAACTGGACTCGCAAACTGACATGATCTCGCCGTGGGAGAGAGGAGAAAGTCGTGTTGGGCGACCGCCGCCAACTCGGTATGGGTCTGCCCTGGCCAGTTCTGGATGAGCTTGGAGCTCCTAACTCCGAGTCGCAGAGAGCCAGCATGTTTTGTTGCTTGCCTATGAGGCCCCAATGCTTGTATGATGGTTCAGGTGCCACTCTGCCCTGCCCCAAACACTACGCCCTAAACCCACCAGCAGTCACTCTGCCCCAAAGCCCTTCCCGTCTTCAGGTCTTCTTCCGGCCCTCGAGCCTCGCCGGATCGAAGTGCAGGGGCCCCTGCCGCTTCGCAGACTTCTTTGCTCACTCGGAAATTAGAGGAATCGAGGAGGAGGGGTCTTGTATTCAGATTCCCCTTTGCCTTGTGGCTTGGACCTGTGTGGTCCTGAGTCTCGCCGATTTTGGTGGGATGGTCTCAATCCGAAGATCCCGGCCACCTGTGCAACTGAAAGCTTGAAAGATCTTGAAAGGCTTACATGTGAAGCCTCTAGGCGAGCAGAGCCCGAGGGCTTACAGTCACGAGGAAAGAGCACGGTGCTGACATCAGTGGCTGCCTTCTCTGTCTGGAGCTGTTGCCGAGAGTCGAGGCTCGTGTAGAATTGCTTGAGCTGTGTTTCAGGTGCCTGAGGAAGGTGGACCCGGAAGACCTCCTGGGCTTCAGTGTGGAGGCGCGACCCGGGGCTAGAGTTGAAAGGTGGCACACCCCAAGAATCTTCAGAGACTCGTATAGAAGCACGGCGCTGGATTCCGCTGGATGTCTTCGCCAGAACCAACCTTGCTTTTTGTGTTGCAGCCGCTGGTCGGATATGACTTTGGCAAGGCGGATTCAATCCAGCCGGGCTGCTTACAGCCCTTCGGATGCAGCAATCACGTAGTGTTGCAGCAGGTGCAGGGGCACAGGGGCACACTTCAGTCTGGGCCAGTGGGATCCGGTAACTCCAGGCTAGAGCTCCCAACAAGAGTACACGGCAGGCAAAGCCACCGGGGTGGCGGGGGAAGCCTCTGAGGCAGACAATACTGCGGTGAATACGATACGATGGGTGCTTTACGCACATGGTTCTAAGAGCAAGTTGGGTGAGCGAGGTCCAAGATTGAACCTTTCCGAAATCCAAGAGTGTTTTGGGCGTTTCCGGAGCTGCGAAGACATGAAATTGCTCGTTTCTGTCTGCACGAACCGAAGGCACATCAGCAGGCCCTTGGAAGTTGCAACCTCCCGGAGCCCCAGTCTCGGCCTACCTTCAGAAACCGAAATCCCCTCCAGTCCCAAACCTGCTCCGAGACTTCTAAAAGCCCCCGTTCTGAGAGGATTGTGTCCATCTCCGAGAAGGGCCTACTTGGACGGCGCAATGCGGCCGTGAACCCTGCGGAGCGTGCAGTGGAAGGTGGGCCCTCCACTCGCCTACCAAGACTGCTGATCTTGCCAGGTTTCGGCATGTTGCAACGTCGAGGTTTCCGTCTACATTTCATACGAGACTCTCTTTCATTTAAACCTAGGACTGGTAAGGCAGTGCAGAGCTTCCCTGCGAGCATTTCCAAGCATGCCAGGCTCTTGGGTCGTTGAGGTGAACGGTGTGGTGGAGAACCTGGAAGCCATGCGCTGCGAGCTGGAGGCGAAGAGAAGCGGCCAAAAAGACCCTTCCCGGCCCAGAAGAGTCAGGTTTAAGAGCATTCTTTCGGGGCGGTCACAGGTAGGGAGACCGGTAATCCACAAAAGTACCAGGACCCATCAACGGTTCTTGTACTTGTAATTCGCATGTTGACGGTCTCCTTATCCACATGTCGGCAGCTTCACAGCAAAGTTGCTTAGGGTGTTATAGACGAGATAGTACTCGTAACATGTTATTAGCTCCGACAGCCATGATCCCGGATTGCTAGTTAAGGTCTTTTTCTCATCCCTTGGCACTTGGCACTGTGTTTCTTAACGTCTATCGCCCGGGACAAGCGGCTACTGGTCTGACCGTCAGGCTCCAACCATCTCGCTGGTCGTCCTTGTGCCGCAGCTGGAGGCGAAAGTTGCATTTGGGATGTGTCAGGCTTTCTGGGCTTTCTATCTGATAGGGCCCCCCCCTTTGTCGAATGCTGAGACAAAAAAGCTATCTACGCTCTGAGATCGCCATCCTTAATGCCGAATCGGCAGAGTGGCAAGCAAAACTCGCCAAGGGCCATCAGCCGTGAACGCCACTACCCGTAGTGGCCAGCAAGCACCACGGTTGAAGCGACGGCTCACGAAGCAGCTCAGCCTTCGGAGTCCGGTCTTCATCTGACCTTCTCTTTTATCAGCCCTCGCATGTCTGGAGCCCACCGCCTCTGAACAAAAGGAGTCAGACGACTTTGGCCGGAAGAGGCCAAGCCGACCTGCTGTGACTTGGCTACCAAGCAGGCAGCGCAGCGGTCCTGTGAGAAAATCAGGGTCTCGTTTCCTGAGTGGCCTAGGTGTCTATGACGTTTCGACTTTCGAGGGTCATGATTCATGATTGAAGATGTTCGCCGAACGGACGGCTAGCGGCTAACACGCTGAAGCCATCACGAGCCATCAAGTGCGGCGCAGCAAAGCAGCCAAGGTGATACCGCATGCCAAAGTTCAGGGAGAAGTGCCGCTCTGCCGATGCAACGGTTACTGCAAGTGCGGCCTTGCCGATGCTCTGGGGCGGGCGCGCGAGGATCACGGGAAGTGCCTCGGATGACCGATTGTGTGAAGCGGTTTTCCAAAAGCCCGACCCTAAGCAATCCTGCACCCACACAATCTTCGCGTCCGCTGGAAGGTGGAATGTGGCACAGCCGGCCCTGCGCATCAGCAATTTGCACCCAGCTGTGACGGAAGAAATGCTATACAGCCTCCAGACTGCAATTGTGATTCAAAGCTCGTGAGGTTAAAGTGGTCTTGAATTACTCCACCCTGGTATTTCAACATGCCTTTACCGTGATCTCGCAATAGCGAGGAGAGCGCCGTGGCCTTCACGAAGCAGCTGCTTACTAGTTACTAGGTGGAAGCCGCGCATAGCAAGAGCCCGCAGCTAGCTTTCTTTCAGCACCCTCTTCGCGCTGTCAAAGGCTTGTTTACAGAGCTGGCGCCAGTAGCCACCTTACGTGTGGTGCGGGACACCAAGACCCTGGAGTCCGAGCTGCACGGCTTTGCAACTTCGGCTGCACATCACGTTTCTCAATTCTGCAGCGCAGGTGCAGCCAGAAAGGGGCGACGGGAGAGCTGCATTGCAGAATATGACGAGCCTCACCAAGCCCAGCGGAGCGGACTAGCAGGTGAACTTCCACACTTTCAACGATGCGCAGAAGGTGCTGGAGGCCAGTGAGACGAACTATTATCCATCCTTGAAGCGTGAGTTCATCAGGGCGGGTTCGGAAGAGCATGGGTGAGCACGGGATGGCAGAGATGTCAATATCGCAGACGTAGCAAGTCCAAAATCTGAAATTACAAAGCATTTCTCTTCAGCCTGAGTGGGTTTGTTGCATGGAAGGAGAGCAGAAGCGGTACGGGACGTAGGACACTACAGGACATTACAGGACGGAAAATGCAGGATTTCTTTGAGACTATCCTGGTTCCTACTGCTTCCCTTGCTGCTGCTGCTGCTGCAGCTACTGCTCAGCTACTGTTACTACTGCTGCCACTGCTGGTGCTGGTGCTGGTGCTGCTGTGCTGCTGCTGCTGCTGCTTCTGGTACTAGTACTAGTAGCACTACTACTGCTACTGCTACTGCTACGACTACCATTACCACTACTACTACCACGACCACTACTGCTCCTGCTTGCTGCTGTTGCCACGACGACGACGAGGACGACCTTGCACCTTGATCTTGATAATCGATGTGTTCCGCCGGTTTGCTCTTTGCCGTCCCAACATGGCTTGCGTACAGCGGCTGCAAATTTATTGTTTTCTTCCTTAAATTCAGTTGTGTTGTCGAAAGGCCGACTCAACCAGAAATCCTTCGTGGCTACGTTTTATGAGGTTGAAATAGGCAGGTTCTGGCAATATGCTACGAATCCACGAACAGTCTTACGTAAAACCTTGATGTCCGAGGCGCTAGATGGCAGGCCTTTGCATGGGCGCAGATGCTTTCTCAGCTGGTCCTCTCGAGCCTGCAGGCTTGAGACATATCCGTAGTGTTAGCTGAGGTTAAGCTCGGCTCCATGAAGTCCTAAAGGTTCACGAATCCTGTAAGCGTTCCTCTTTAGTTGGTCAGGCAACGGTTGATCGATCGCACAAGGCGGACAGAAATGGCACATGATTCGGACTTTATGCATGTTTTGGCAACTTTGCACCGGTAGAGACTCAAACCGATTCGAGTTCAACGGATCCCTCCTCAAACTCTGAAACAAACCCGCTCCTACCACTATGAGCGCGTCATGTTGGGCATTTGTTCAGCCCGCTTGTGATCGAAGCCTATGGGACAATGATCCACCTGTGCAAGCAGTTGAGCCTTCGTTTTTCGCGCAAGCTTCTGTGTCAGGCGCGAGGAAGCAGAAACTTGGGCACCACCGCCCCTCATTTCCACCGAAGGCTTGGGCAGGGGGTCCTGCAGCTGTTCAAGGTTAAGGGGCAGTCACGATCCATTCCAGTTCTTACGAAGTCCGAAAATGTGCCCGTCAAATTGCCATCGTTTCTCCAGGCCCGCGGCATATCCGGTCGTACCAGCTACCCGTCGCACCTGGTAAAGTTGAGCGAGAAGGCCACGGCAACACGGACGGAGGATGTCTTTAAGGAACTTTTGGCCCCTGCCTGTGGTGGACAGCAAGTGCGGGCAAAAGCACTCCCTCAAGTCTCGGTTGAATCCGTACCCTCAGCACCCAATCCCAATCCCATCTGCAAAAGCGTTTTGGGCTCAAGTTCCCATCCACACTCGCCGGAGTATTGATCTACACGACCGCGAGGCCTACGGAGGGTCAGTAGTTGTGGAAGCTGAAGGCTTAAATTGGTTTTTTTGGGCTTAGGCTTGGCAAGGAAATCCAGCATGACTAGGACAGTCCAACGGGCCACAGCTCATCTGTGAAGAGGTTACTGTGACATGTAAGCGTGGGTTGCTTTTTCCATTCTAGAATGCGCCTTTATGATGTTTTGCCGTGCAGGCGGGTTTCAGGCCAACTGCTCCCGCGGGTCGGTTGCAAGCGCGGCAGCGATGCTCGTCAAATCTTAAAGAGTGCACCATGCAAGATTTTTTGACAGTCCGGCGGGCAGAGTAGGAAATGTATGTTCAAACTTTGCAACCACTGATGCACCGATATCGGTCGGCATCGCGGTTGAGCTATGCCATCACAACATTTGGAAACGCCATGTTGGATGCGTGTACCGTGTGACTCTGTCTCCCACTTCGGCTCAAGCTTTGCCATGATGATATTATTTCACTAGTCGGGCAGCTTGGAATGGCCGCCATGATGATGCGAAGGCACGGAAGTCGAGAGGGAGGTTCCAGGCTATGCCCGATGCAACAACAGCATTGCACGACTGCGTCCCGCGGCGTGGCCGCCACCCCCTAACAGCCTGGACTCCGGAACCCGTTGCTGTTGCTCAACACTGCACTTCAGTCCAGCAAGCAAGCCTGCGAGGCGGCGTGGCGAGGAGTGCCTAGCGAGGCCGGGTTGGGGGAAGGAGATGAACATAGTCAGACCAACATGACATGTTTTAGCCGAATCTGCCATCAGTCCTTCCAAGTGACGTGAGGGCAGATCCATCTCAATCTGGCAGCTGCACTGGTTCCTCTGATCAATACACGCCTCCCCTTCTTCGCCCTCGCGGTGAGCTCTGATGTCCGATCTCCCAAAAGGCTGCCTACACCCTGCCGCGCGCCGCGGCGCAAGGAGCCTGGGCTTTGGTTTGGGTTGTAGAAGAGTAGTGGATAGCTTTACTGGGTTCGGTAATGGGACTATAGTGAACTGATCTGGAGAGGATTTCCAGCGTGTGCCTAGCGTGGCCTGGCTCTCTAAGACAGCACAGCAGCCGCTCGTAAGATCTCAGTCTCAGAGGTTGAGTACTGTATCAGCTGTTTTTGCACATGCACCTGTGTGCGGCAAACCACCAGCCCTTTTCTGCGACACAGTTGGCCCAGCTTGAAATTACTCGCTCACGGACCTTCCGGAATGCTGCTCAGCTGAGCATGAGCATGCCCAGGAGGTCCCTCTCCCGTTCCATCCTGTGCACAGGAGGATGGCTGCTTCTGGAGCCCGGAGGACCTGCAAAAGGGCTACGACCAAGCCACGATTGGGGTAGTTGTAACTCCAGAAGAATTGGGGCAGCGTCCGAGAGAAAGCTTGAGAGTAGTCCCAAGGAAGTGCTGCAGCCCTGCAGATTCGAGGATCCTTTCGCTCCCACGCGCACGCTACAGCGGACGCCTCCCAGGACGCAGCTGCTGTTCAATTGTATGCGCGGGTTCTGCGCGCAGTATGACACCTGCTGCAAGGATTATCACCTTATGAGCAAAACTGCGACATGGGACACGTTCTGCTTCAGTTGATACGTCCCACGTAAATCCTGCAAAAGATCAAGCTGCAGAAAACAGGCTTTCCTTCATCATGGTGGGTTCACCAACCAACTTCGCAGGAAGATTCGGAACTGAGAAAGGCCATCCCCAACTAACCCCTGAGCCGGCCATTGGTGGAAGTCAACCCCCTGGCCAAAGTCATGGATGCAGGAGCGAGAGCGAGTCTACGCAGACCTCCGACAGCCTTCCTGGGGTCCAGACCGCCGAGGCAGATCTGTAAGGTGAAGGCTTCAAGGCTTCAGCTCAGTATCGGACTTGGAGGTGAGTTGGCTGCTCAGGGAATTCTATGGACTCGTTGGGGTCCATGGGTCAGTCGAGAGACCAAGGCCTCGGTGCAAACCGAGCGGGAGGACCCCGAGCACTCTGAAGAGGAAGCCGAGGGCGCTGAAGGCGTCTGGGCAGAGGGAACAGCTGCTTCCACGTGGTGATCGTCGTCGTCATCGTAGTTACAATGTTGGCTAGCAGCAGCAGCGGCAGCTGCCAGTAGCAGCAGTAGAAGTAGGACTACTATCACTACACTACATCACTTACATAATCTTACAGAACAGTATCAATTACTGGCAGTAACAATGAGAAAATCAGCAATACTGAGAAGACGGTACCTTTTCGCAGCAGCAGCGAGCATTTGCTCGATGATTCTCAGTCTCTCTCTCTCTCTCTCTCTCTTACAGTCTCTCGTTCTGGTACGAGTTGCTTGCTATGCATGTGCCTTCTGCCGAAGACCTGCACCCGACAGGTGCGGTCGACGCTGTGCGTTGCTGCTCTTTCAGATAGTTTGATGTTTGTTCTTTTGTCAAGGTGAGCAGCTCGAGCCCTGCATGCCGCGCAGGCGAAGATGCCCCTGGGCTGCAAGAGCTTTGGGCGACGGACGTTGTTGTCTGTGTGTGTTCTGCATTTTTCCTCTCCCAAACTCCACACTGAGGCAGGTGCGGTGCTGGCTTTTGGTGGCTCTTGCGGCTCTGCGTCCTTACAGGACTTGCCGAGCTCGGTGATGCTTTGTCGCGACTGGAATTGAGTTGAGAGGTTGTCATGGTTGGCTGGCTTTCCTGCCTTACCCGGAAGCGCCATCGATTCACACTCCAGCAATTAGTCTCGGCCGAGAGCAGACACGTTTCGAAGCTCTCAATGCCCCAAGAGCAGGACTGATTCAGGCTCACCTGCCCGATGAAGATGCAGTGGCTGTCGTGGACAGCCCAACTCTCAGGGCTCTGTACTCTGCAACTGAGCTTGGGTCTGAGAGAGTGCACCGGAGGGCTCCCACGGATCTGCGTGAATAATACTGTCGCCCGCGATCGGTTTGCAAGCTGCAGGGCGTCCACAACATGTCTAGTCCCAAAATCGATGGTGCTCACACACATCGTACACCACCATTGGTCCGCAATCCGAAACCCTCATATAGGCCAGTCGAATCATCGGCTCTCGCCATCTCTCGCCCTCTACGCAAGTGCAATGTCGCTACGCGCATTGCAATCCAGAGTGATTCAGAATAGCGTCAGCCAAGTCCTTGTCATCTAGGTGTAATGAGAAAAGTTTGGACCTTTAGACTTTTTGCTTGAAGGTGCCACAGTACAACTTGCAAGACACGGCCATGGCCATGACGGGGTTCGTCATGTCAGGGTCAGTGCAACACAGGGCAGCCCTTTTTAGAAAAGTATTTCTCTGAAAGCTCCTTCCAAACCACTGCATTAGTTCCCTGGACATTGTATCCCAAAAGCCTGAACGCACAAATCCGGAAGTGTACTAAGTTTTCTTGAAACACACGCTGAATCTCCTATGACCTCTCCCTTTCGAGGTAGCTTCCTGGAGCGGGAAGCTCAGCTCCTTGAGCAGCTCGAAGTCTGCGGAGCCCAAGTCGCAGGTGCCATTTAGCGGGGGCTCGGAAGGGCTTCTGCGCTTTCCGACACATGGACGACCTCTACAGTACAGAGTTGATTGCGGACAAATACATGAGGATTGTGAGTTAGTGTGAACAGCTGTAGATAGCGGTAGCTGTAACTAGAGGCCTAACTCTACAAAGTACCATAGTTACGGACAGATGCCCTTTGTGTTTTCCGAACATATATGTGCTTGTATACATATATGCTGAGGCATGCAGGTATGTATGTATGTATGTACGTACGAATGTACGTATGTTGTGCATGCCAACAGGGATGCTGCTTATGCTTAGGGTTTGGGGTAGGGTTGAGCCTGGGTTCAGCGTTGGGCCGGCGGAGTACACAGAGTTGTGTTCATATGATTCTGCGCGTCTGCACGTCGTTTGCACGTACGCTTCGCCAGGGCTCCTCGCAAACCAGACGAAGGATTCACCACGATCCAACTGGTCGACGTTTCTATGGAGGCCTGCACTGAAAACCTATAGGAGAAGCAGCGTGGGTGAAGCCCAGTCGCAGGTAGCCCCTTGTGGACTTGGCTGGCGATCTCCGGCCTAGTCCGATCTCGGCAGAGTAGGGCCCGGAAGGGCCACCTCGCAGCTGTGCGTGGCAGAGCTTCCCGCACCGGAGTCGCCGACACACTCCCCAGTTTCTGCATTACTGTCAAAATCAGGTCAGATAACATGGGCCCAGAGGCATTGACGAGTCTTTCGAGTGGAGTGCTCTGCAGTGGCAGGAACGATTGACTGCCACCAGATAATTCAGTCACTCACGGTAGGACTGCTGGATGCCGCCGGCCTCCGAATTTGCAACATATTGCAGGTCAGAGTGCGGAGAGCCTTCGCCGTCGACTATACAGTACAGTTTGCCAGATAAGCCTTAAGTTTGGCGGGCGGCGGTTCTGAAAGCAGAATTCGGTGCATCCATCTGCATATAGGTATTAATTCGCACCTGCGGAATCACTTGTAGTGCGTGCTTGGGTGATGCAACAACAGCGTACGCTTGGAGTTTGTGTGAGGGGTTGCTTGGCAATTCTATTTGCAAGGACTTCAACCAAGTCTGTGTAGTCACCAGGTGTAGTCAGGCCTGAAGCCTGTTGCCAAAGGAAGACTTCCCCTGTCCCAAGATGCCATTCTTCACAGACCCTCCTGGGATCTTATCAAGCAACTCACAGCTTGTACCACACTCCGATACACTCCGTCAACGGACGATGCATGCATAAGGGCTTATAGTGGCTTGTATCGACATGTCGGAAGCCGCCCCCCTGATCTGATGCTCGGCAAGCCCAGGATGGCTCGCGATGGCGGCAAGAAGACCTGCCAGAAGATACGGCGCTAATTCGACCACGGGCATGCGGTGCCGGTGCGTGTGCACTCTGGACATGCGAGCCTGGTTAGAACAGTCGAGCCACAGAGTTTCGTAATTTTTGCTTTCTGCTATCATGCACCAGTCTCACCAGTTTGCACAAGCAAAACTGAGGGGACGACCTGCGTAGGTGCTTTGCGCAGACGCAGACAAAGAACATCTGCACCCGAGGACTCCCCACCTCATCCCGCATTTGTAAGCTTTGGCCGCGCGGTGAGGCCATGATGAACGTGCAGGGCGAGGTCGACCCAAAGCCATCTGAGCAGACTTGCGCGTGGGGATTTGCGCCTGGTCGTGCTGGTTCGATGGTGAACCGTGGTTCGGATCGCCAGTGCTTCCAAGCTGTTACGCGCTTCGCAGACGTGCTGAAGCGGGTGCTGCAGATTCGAGAAGACGCCGCGGAGGGGCGACAAGGACTTCCAGGAGCCACCGGTCCCGACGCCGGACACAGCGATGGTTGTCGCCGGAAAGATGCGGCGAGATGTCGCCTTCCCGGTCTCAGACGCTGTGGCCCTGTGGCGTCGCTCAACCATGGAACGAGCCCGATGATCTGATTGTGACTCGTGAAGCCGAGGGATTGAAATCCGAGGCTGCTTGCTTCATGACAGTACGATTTATAGTATCGGGTATTCAGGGTACATCCACCACAGCCCACAGCCATCACTCTCCGAAGAGCTTGGCTTTGGCACTGGGTATCCACCTTCTGCTGCAAAGTTTGGAGATTTCTCAGATTTCAAAATTACCCGAGGCTGTGTACATAAGACCTGAGCGCTCGTCGAACGCTTCAGAAATGATTCTGTAGAGCAGTGAAACTGAGCGGCCCCTGCACGACGAATTTCTTCCACCAAGCCCTGGCCGACCTTTTTTTTCAGAGCACAAGCTTTGCATGGAAGTGGCCCAGCCTCCACAGTCCACCTTGAGGGCTCAGAGCTCCAAACAAGTGACTTTAGTTTCTTTCCTGAAGGGCATTTAAGCTCCGAGGCATAGATCACCCAAGTCAACGGCTTTGCACGTTTTGCTCTGCATCTGGAGCAATGGCTTCTTGTTTGGACGACAAGCTGGCGCAGCACCTCCTGGGGGTCAAGCCGCAGCGCTTGAAAGCAACATGCCTAATGGAGCACTCGTTCGCATAGGTTGCCTAGATTTGTGTTTCTGCTCGCCGACTGCATTGAAATCCGAGCGGCAGCTGCAGTCAGGAATGTAGCATAAACCTTCTATCCCCACTCACTTGTATTTGGCTTCAACACATTAAGGCTCCGCCTCACAGGCTTCCAGAGGCATAGCTACTGTGGTTGCCTGCAACAGACTGAAAGAGTTGCTGAACGAATGTGCTCTTGCGTGCATACATTCTACTTCACCCTTTGTCTGTCTAATTCTCGGTCTGAGGCTCGAACTCCTCCTAAAGCAAAGCTGATAGGACACCCCTTGCCTCCTTGACTCCCAAGCTCCGGAGAGCCCAGGTCCCAGCCCTTCCCGGGCCAGTCCTCTCCCAGCTGGCGGACCTCTCGGATGCAAGGCAAGGCGTCTGAGACTTTGGGCCTTGGCCACAGGTTTAGGGTAGGGGCCATGGGGTTTAGGACTCCAGGCCCCTTGAAAGAGGCGGAGGATTCAAGCCGTCGAAGCGCGCAGGCGTCGCCCCGAAGTCTTGCACCGGCTTGTGGAGACTCTGAGACCCAGCCAAGCCGAGCCATGGCAAAGCATTACTTGTCGGCTATGTCGGCTCTGGGGGTCCGACAATCACTTCTGCCACTTTTGTGTAAGAGTTTCGACATGTTTGTGCACTGTTCTGGAAGGAGATTGTGGAGTTCCTGGGCTCGCACGTGGTGAAGGCCTTGTCTGGCTCCGCCTCTCGGGGCCCTGGCCCTGCGCAGCTGCGCGGCGTGGAGGTGGCGCCTCTGCCCGGCCAGGGCCGGTCCTTGCTGGCCAAGCGCGACCTCGCTCGAGGGAGCGTCTGCATCCAGGAGCAGCCGCTGGCCTCCGTGGCCTCTGTGGCGACGGGAAGCGAGGCCTCGCTGCAGGCGGAGACGCGCTTGGCCTTGCGGCTCTTGGCTGCCTCGAGGGCCAACCTGGCGGACTTGGCATCCGACCTCCTGGACCATGGCGGCCGAGACCCGATGGGTCTGAAGAGCCGGGCAGTGGTCGCCGTCTGTGCGGCGCTCTGCATCTTCGCAGCACTCTCGAATCTTCGGAGGCTTCCAGTTTGGGAGGACTTTGCGAACATTGCTATCAGACCTTTTGAGCGACATGCTCTTCAAGAAAGATCAACAACTTGGGATTCAGCCTTCTGAGCAACATGCTCTTCAAGACATCATTCGTTGATCAAGAATACTAAATAACAAGTTAGGTATCGCAGAAGCTGTGAGACCTGACGACGCCCAGGTATTTCGAATTTGCCTGCCTCGCAGCTCTGCCGAGAAGCGGAGGTGAGACGACCGAAGAGATGGTTGATACTATCATGTAGTTATTCTGGCATTAGACCTATCCAAGACACGTTCTGTGATTTCAATGAAGTGCTCCCGAAGGAGGCCTTTGCTTGGCTCGGACGCGTTCGCATCAATGCTGTGGCAGTCACGGCTTTGGCTGCAACCCGACAAGACATGCAAAGTCTTGTCAAGCTCAGCTTGGTGCATTGCCGCACGTAGTCGGGGCCGAAGGTTCGCAAGTCCCCCTTGTTTTGATGCGTACAAACGGCATGGCCTATCGGCGGGTCGGCGACTAAGATCTTCCGCCCACATCTAGATGAGAAGTTACGCAGTGAGCATCAGGGAGGTTTTCAAGACATGGCCCAAGTAGTTGCAGCTTGAAAAACCCTGTGCACCATTCGGCTAGTTCTTCAGTTCCTGTTACGCCTTACGCCCGCATCGCCCTGCCAAGGAGAATGGCTCTGGTGAGTTGACGAGGACCAAGGTCGCCCTCGCCCTGCGTCTCGGTGAGTGTTTGGGATTGTTGCAGACTGGCAGGCCTACCATACGTTCACAGCGCAGCAATCCCCGATTCAGAACAACGATGGGCTTCAACAGAAGGGCAGGAGCAGCTGTCCCATGACCCTTTTTTCATGGGCTACGAGCTACGCTGAAACTCGCAGTCTGGATTGACTTTGCACCTGTTTCCATGACAGCTCAGGTATCCAAACCTTGCAAGGAGCGTGCAGGAGACTTACAAACTGTTCTGGTCTCCAGGATTCCCAGCAGTCACCACTAGAGCTTGCCCGGGTCGCTGGTCCCCGCATCATCCCTCATTGGACAGCGACGATAGATGTCTCTCCCATGTCTCCCAGGAACCACGCTTGCAAACCCAATGCCCTGCTCCGCTTTGACAAGGCCAGTGCAGGGTGGCAGGGTCGGGGGATGTGTCTGCAGAATGGGGCATCTAGGAAGGCTTGAGACGGTCTGAGTCTGCAGCCTAGGACACCAACGGTGTGGAAGTCGTGATCTCCTCACCAAGCGGAGTCTGGGAACCTGGAACATGGTGACAAATGGCGACATCCCCGCTTTCGGAGCCTTTTTGGTATGGGGAGTGTCGATAGGCCTGCGGGAAAGCAGCAAGCATCGGATTCTTGTCGCGCCTAACTATAGGCCACCAAGCATTGCATCTAGCGAGGTCAATGCTGGGGAGGAGGTGACCATTTCCTACGGCCTGGGACCTGAGCGCCAGTACCAGACTGACAATCCATCAAGAATTGCAGCATTGTATGCAATGCCTGTGATTGTATGGTTTCCTTCTTCTAGCCCCAGGGTGGTACTGGGAGCGTCCGATTTCCATCGAATGAAGGAGCTCCCAGTCTGACGTGATTTGCACGGTCACGAAGTACACGTAGTAGCTTGAGGTCTTGAGTTTGCAACAACGCTTAGGACATGAGCAGACTTGTACCCCCCGGCAGCATTTGATATGTTGCATGTATGTACAAGAAGACGGTGTATCGTGTTGTGCACGACGAGAACAATGACCATGGCAAGTGACGGCAGCAACAAATGCAAACAATGATTACAAATTTGCGGGTGGCCGCCCTTCTAAGTAGTAGCCTTCACATTCCAGCAAACGGCCTTGCCGCAGGCTTCCACCATCTTCTACCGGTGATGCTGTGTAAGTTTTGATGAGCTAAGCTGCTTCGTTCAATCGCTCCGCAGACCAGGCCCCACAGGCGGCTCACACCTGCGCTCTGAAAGACAACAGACGCTGAGCAGCCAGTGCTCCGCTTTCGTCAGTGGTAGGATCTTGATAGTTCTTGCTGCTTCCGTGTATCATTCTTGCTGTGCTTTTTGATTGGTTTTGTTCTATATCAGTGTTAATTCCTGCCCTCCACCTGCTATGCCTATTCCTCCCACACTTGCATGTGGCATCTGGCTTTTTCCGCCTGCCTTTTCATGTCTGATATAGGCTCAGTGTTTGCATCAGCGACTAGATGTGCAAACAACCAGAAGCCTGTTCATGTTCTCAGTTGGATCTACACCCTTCCCCGGAAACTGAAGAGTCTTGAGCTCCTAAACGACAATTCATGAATGTTGCGTGCTGGAGTCCAACTCAGCGCCGTGAGCCTGGGCAGGTACGGTTTCGACTGCCTTTGCCAGGCTTGCGCCTCATCCGTGGCAGCCTAAGTCACCATGCTTAATGCTACAGGTACTATACCGATCTGCACACACAGTTCCAGGTCCTCCCCTCCTGCATGTTCACACATGTCTCCTCTGTGAAAGTCCCTGTCGCATGTTGCCCGTGGTTCAGACTTCAGACTAGCCAGCCACAGGATCCCAGCACCCATCCTCAATATAGATGTTTCTGGCGCAGTCGAAGCGGATCGACACGTTGGGCTTGCGTCGACCCTGCTGCGGCTCAGGTGCAGGACGAGGACTTCCAGTGGAAAGAGCGGGCCAGGAAGCTTGACCTGCGTGCGCAGGCACCGCGGTATCACCTTCTGCTCTGGTGTTATTCCGATTGAAGCCTTCCACCAGCTTCTCCACACAGCCGGCAAGGGTTTCGTGACGACCCATGATTACGATCCTGCGTCTCCCAGTCCCAAGAAAGAATTGAGTGGGGCTTCACTTGTCGGATTCTCTTGCTCGACCCTGGGCCGAAGTTGCCTGGCTTTGGAGATTCCAGGAGGCGGCGGGACGTGGGGCCTGGCTCGAAGCCGCCGCCACCTTGGATTCCTTTGCGTGCGCATGCCTGATTCTTGCCGCCCGACAGCTCCGCATCTTTGGCATCATTGGGGTATATCTCCAATCCAAGACCCCCACTACACTCTGCACTCTGAAGAGCCTCTTGTTCCCTGAAGATCGGGCCACAGATACTTGTATGGCCGACACCCAGGTGACGGCCTCGGCAGCGGCTCTGGCCCTGCTGCGCCAGGATGCCCAGACTTCCCTGCATCGGGGGGCTTTTGGGGTTTCTCACCGGACGGGATACTTCAGAAGTTCAGCTCCTGCGTCGCACTTTTACGGGCTTCGGGATTTGCTGGCAGTGACAGTTCTTTCTACTGCATTGCGTACATTGCCCTGACAGTGGCGAAGCGCGTCGAGGCATTCAGCAAGTCTTCTCCGGAGCATCCTCATTACAGGGCACTACCGGGAAGGCTAAAACCATAAGTCGTGGCATTCCGCGGTCATATTGGTAGAACCGCTCTAATTCAATGCGTGTGTGCTGCTTGTGCTGTCACACATCAGGCCCTGGCCACTAGCAGTCGCGTGAGTTTTGAAATCATTGTGAACACCTGTGATTTCGGTGCTTGCCACACACTAACCAGCTGGACAGCGTGTTTCGGCCTTCAAGTGTACGGTCTCGCGTCTCTTTGTGAGCTTCGAGGTGAAGATGCCGTGGTTCCTATCATTTCTATCCTAAACCTTGGCTTGGCTTTAGGTTTTTGTTGCCAGGTCAGGGCTACGGAGAAGGAGATGTTGAGCTAGCCAGAGAGGAGCCTGGGCCTTACCCCGAATTCGGCCGCAAAAGCTTGCCTCGGGTTCCTCTTTGGATATAAGTGTTCGGGTTTAAGGTTTCGGATCTGTCCAGAGGCGGCAGGGCCCTCGCGTTGGAACGAGAAGCAGTTTCCGTCGCTCTCGCACCCGCGCAGACCCCGAGTTCCCGCTCGATTAAGCGAAGTGTGTGGTTCCATCTGCTAGTAAAGCAGAGCAAAGCAGAGAAGAGCGATGCCTCGGAGTCACCTAGATGCAAGCTCGCGGGCTTATCCCTTCGTGTTGGCAAAGTCGTGTGGGCCCTGGACAATATGTGCAGGCCGGTCTTGAGTTTCCAGGGCCAGCGCGAGTTTATTTCTACCTTCAACTGCTGCGAAGAGGCGCAGTCTCGAAGTGGAAAAATCAGCATCCCCCTTCCTCCCAGGACAAAGCCCGTGAGTTGTGGTTATCGGCTGCTGAAGTGCCGGCTGCCTCGGCTTTTGAATCAGCAGTGCCTGAACAGATGCCTTCTAACGGTCTAACGCTTCGCAGCCGTTTGTGCAAGGCTGAAGCCCCTCAGCTGCTCTACCGATCCAGACCTGGTGGAGGCGGAGGCAGCAGATTCGTTTCTGCTCGACTGTGGGCCTCAGAATTGACGCTTCGCTGTTGCCTTGGACAGGAGATGCTTCACCGGCTGCCGCAATCAAAGGGAACCGAGGTGCAGGGACTTGACTTCAGAAGGTTTCTCCAGAATGCGAGGCGAGGCCGTTCAGGATGTGGTCCTCTCCGGCCTAGTAGTCCAGGCTTCGTGGTTGCCGAACGAACAGCGCAGCCTGCAGTCGTCTCTTTGAGAGGCCGTGAGGGTGTTTCACACGGCTGTGCGAGGTCCCGCCATCACCAATGCCGATGGCAAAAGGCTGCTGCCTCAGCTCGACATCTCAAGAAATCGTACCAGGGAAGGGTTATTCTTGCTGCGGTGATTCTACTGGTCTTTCTGCCGCATCCTTCACACCTGCATGTGACTGAATCGTAACTCTTCGTAAACTTGGATCTTCATGGGTGCGTGCGGCATCAATTTTGAGCATATTCCGGACCAAGAGATTGCGTCTTCAATCAAGGGGGAATATTAATCTTAGGTTACCATTACTGGTGGGTGGATGACTCGAACCCTTGAGCTTCACATTGCATTTTGGGGTTGAGCTGCACGTTTCAAGCCATTGTTAGTCCATCCAGCTGCTTGAGAAGTAGCAATGCCATGGGTGCGACACACTCCCCGGCTTCTAGGCAGAACTTTGGTGCGATACGCGGCAGGGCGATGCATGTCACAGGCCGCCGGTGTTTCTGTCGGGGGCTCCGTGGATCCGAAGCAGAGCGGCTTGTCTTGGTCTGCTCGGGATCTCCGATCGCGACTGCCAAAGAACGCCGATCACCGTCTATTGGCAATCAGCTTCGGGAGTGGCGATGCGACAAACGACTATCATTTTCTCAAGGCTGCGAAAGCGGAAGCAGTGGCTCTTGATATCATCCTACTTGAGCCCGAAGAGCCGCCAACAACAATGGATGCTGCAATTGAGGAACACCTCGGTGCTCGTGTCCACCGGCTGTCCATGACAGCCCAGGGAGCTTCACCTCAATCAACCGCTCATGTTGGAATTTGGATCGACAGCCTACATTGCATTCCGATGCAGGAGATGAGCCAAGTCCTAAACAAATGGTTTTTCGGGAGTACAGCACCGCCTCTGAGCTACGTGGTGGGCAACTCGAGGAATCCGTTTTACAGCGAGTGGCTGCCTTGGCTTCGGCGGAGTCCCGCGATTGTGGCAGGTCTGGAGGAGGGCAGTTTGACGATTGACGAGGCAGAAGTGCCGATCATCGTCGATTTCAAACCATTTTCTGTTGAAGAGGCCGTCAAATGGTGGAGTCGATGCAGTTCGCCGGGGCAACGGCGGCCAGCGATCCGGAGGCAGTCCGAAAGGAGCGCGAACGCATCACAGCGGCGATCGGCGACGCCGAGGAGGTCGAGATCTCCAGGCATAAGGTTGCGGTGCTTCAACGCACCAACTTGCGAAACTAATCCTAGCCGAAGCGCAGAGCTCTTCGGAAACAGCCAATCCAACGAAATCCAACGAAGCTGAATCACAGCCGATCGTGAGCCTCCACCACATAGCCGCCCATGAGCTGGTTGTCATATCTGACTGCAAGATCAGAACGGACGGCGAAGACGTCTCAGCCTGGATCGTGCACAGAATTGTTGAGCCTTCCCTGGTCTACTCCAGAAAACTTTGCTTGTGGCCGAAAGCACAACACAAGCTTTCTCAGAGGTTTCCAGGGTCTTGGCTTACAAGCAATGAGCGCATCCAGCAGAAGTTTCAATCGTCAAGTAAAGGACATTAATGTAAGCATGAAGCCCGGACCAAAACAGGCTTTGCCGCAGCTGGGAGCCGCAGCGACATCGCTGCGGCCCTGCGGCGTCGGGTGCGCAGATTTTGGGCAATCTTGTGGGAATCTGGCAGTGTTTGTTGACTGGAGTTCAAGTTTGTCTTCAGGCAGCTCATACGCGGGTCGTGGCGTGGTTTGGGTCGGGACTTGGAGGGTCTGTCATCGAGCAATTTCGGGTCAGGTCCGGAGTCTACCGACCAAGAATTGAAGGTATACGAGTGCAAAGACATGAGATTCGGGTTTCGGCAAGTTTGCTTCAAGATCGAAACTTGTTGTAAACTTTCCGTTGCCAAGGACCGAGCGGAAGTTGGCTTGTTGCTGTTCTTGTCTCTAGGAGCGGCCGGCGCCTGTTGATTATTTGCAGCTCTTGGGTAAAAGTGCAGTGGCTGTTGGTGGCCGGCCTAGGCCTCCAGAATGCCATTGACACGGCGAGCTTGGGGAAGGGCCCCGGAAGCCGAAATGTTTCTTCGAAGCATCCACCGAGCAAGGTTGAGGCGGGTGGGTGGGGCGGGGCGACGTCCGAGTGAGTTTTGAGAGACGTTGCTGGGGGTGAGGCACAGGACTCGACGACTGTGACTGACAGCTTTGCCGGTGCAATCTTCGGGCGGCGCTCCCAGGGAACTACTACAGTATACTCGTAGTACCTTTTGTGTGACATGTGCCGTCTGCAGTCCCAGGCTGGAGAGCCTGAACCTGTCTCCGGCGGAGAAAGCCAAGCTTCAGGCGGCAATGAGCCCCCGCCTTGGTGGGATGTCAGAGTGTCGATCTCGGGCTTGTCCTAGTATCGCCAAAGTATCAGACCCGCATGAACTTCTATCGGAGGCCCGGGTCAATCTAAGGGCTAAGCTCGCTGGTCTCGAGCGGAAGTTTCCAAACTTTTCGGTGGAGGGCTGGCTGTCAGGTTCCGGCTGATGATCCGAACGGCTTACGAGGAAGAGCAGAGCACGGATTGAGCAGGAGCGACCGGATGTAAAGCCGTTTACAGTGTTCGAAGCCGCGCACGCGATCGACTTTGAAGCGGACTGGCAGGAGGACCGGCGAAGTTCCACGGCCGGACAGGCCCGGGGGGGCCTCCGCAGCCGCGGCCTGCTGGTGTTTGGATCCCTCGGTGTGCGCACTAAGCCCAATCTGAGCCTCAGCCACCAGACCTGGACACTCTCTGCAAGGGCTCTCTGGGTTTGGATGTCTCAGAAGGGAGGTGCAAGTCGCCTGCATATATCTGGACACGGCTAAGCTTCGTCTCACGACTCTGTATCTGGAGGCCACGAAGCTCATCGCCCCGGAGACGGACCATTCAGACTTTGCGCCGCTCCGGCCCGAGCCCTTTAATGACTTTAATGTTTCATTACTTCGGGCCAAGTCAATCTCAAGACTTCGTTCATTCCGTTGTCCGCGCATGACTCCAGGTATCGTAAGATCTTGATCATTTGTGTGAGTTCATCTGAAAAAGTACCGAACTGGGACCATTACCCAACATCCTTATGAAGAGAGACATGCAAGTCAACTGTTCGAGGGGCACAGTCTGCTTACAGGCCTTGTCGACTTTTCAACATAGTGTTGCCGAGGCTGGTCGACTTCGAGATTTGTGTGACGGAACAGCTCCACTTGAGGCTCTAAGTTGTCCCGTGAAAACTTGGTGGCGGCTTCCGTCTCACAGGATCCTGTAGCTTTGTCATGCTGATGCATTCCCAGGGCACCGTTGCAGGGCTCCGGTGTTCGCGAGGATGCGAATCGGTGCGAGGCAGAGCCAAGCGACCAGCACGGACCGCTCTACCTACTGTAACCTGCATCATGAAATTTGTGCGACACCTGCGATCAGCACCGGAGACTCCATCCGTTTCTGGTGCTCAAGCTTTGCACAGAAGGTAGACCGCGGATGCTCCTTCCGGACTCACCGTCTCTAGATCTAGACGACACAAGCTTACGCTCAACTCCCGCCGCGCACGAACTGCGAGTGAATTTAAGCTCTGCGAAGCGGAAACGTGCGTAGAATTTGTGGCTAGCAGCGGTCTAGTGAGACAGGGGCATGTAATGTGGCTGTGGCACTTCAAGCCTGGCTTTGCACTTGAGCCTATGACAGCTTGGCCAGTGTGCCGTAATTAATGGGGACAGCACTTCGAAAGCGTCAGTGACGATACGAACACTGATGGCAGTCGTGCCATATGGCAATGATCATCAGTTGAACGACCAGCCACGCAAGCAGAGCAGTACGGATCACTTTCATCACCTTGGGTTGTTGGCTGTGGTCTCGCCTGCTTTCGCCATGACGAACTACTCCAAGTGGGACAAGTTTGCTGCAGGTGGAACCATTCCGGATGTTGAATTGCGTGGCCGTTTGCTTTTGATATTTCTGTTCTCATGACTACCAAAGGAAGAATCGCATACGATCGCAGGTGTTCGTCAAAAGCCCGGAGTTATTCGATATTACTCGCAATCCGGCAGCCGTTGCCCTCGACCACTCCATAGCCTAGATCGGAGCAGTCAGCATGCTTGCATGTTGTAAACAGAGACTGCGATCCGCAGATCTGGCCTCCGACACAGAAGAGGAAGAAGAGAGGGAGCTTGGCGACTACACGGCCAAGACAGGTGTGGGGCCTTGGTTCGGAACAGGGTCGAGGGATCTGGTTTCCAGCTGCTCACATGCAACGGGCGCTGATGAGACAAGCTTAAGATGCTTGGGAATGTCATGGAAGGTCAGTTGAAGTTTCTGTGCAAGCAGTTCTCTGTTGCGCTCGGAGAAGAGTACTGTACAGCTGCAGTTGGATTCACAAGTTGCGAATGTTCATCCAGTTTGCTGGATGAACCCTTTTGTGGTTAAGCCCATTGCTCCTCGAAATCTGTTGAGACTATACTGACTATACTGCACCATGTGGCGTAACAGCCTTACTGCTCCGAACAGCTTTGGGTAAACACTACTTGCCCTCTCAGTTTGCTACATCCATGTGCCTCCCGGGGACTTCACCAAGAAGGATGCATAGGGATGCAGCGGGACTCTGTGCTGTGATGAGCATCCCGGCGAACTTTCCGGCAGTTTGACTGCAGGTCGGGGTCGTAGCAGGGAATCTGGAAAGGACATGCGCTGCTTTGAGCCATTCTAGCTGGCAGAGTTTGACGTCCATCACTTGTGACCCAAGCCTGGTTTCAGCTTTGCACCCAGCCGTGGCAATGGATGCAGCTACAGGATGCGCAGAGCGAGCACGAGAGCACACGCTGAGTGTCCGTAATAGCCTCGATGCTTCCGCGTTTCAAGTGAAAGTGCATGACTTTGCCACAGTGACGGATGTGTGCCAAAGCATCGCTGCCGAAATTGGCCTGGAAGCGGGCAAAAGGCTTGTACTAATGTCTGGAGACAGTCTTCTTGACGATGCCAAGCCTTTGCTGCCACAACTTTGCGAAGAGGATATCACGTATATTGTGCAGACAATCGGGGCTGGCCAAGCATCCGTGAGCCTGTTGCGTGGACTAGATGAAAAGCGACACTTACAAGCCACGGATGTGAACGCCATAGATGCAATCTGCTCGTTGGATTTTGGCGATTGGTTCAACCAAAGCTTAGAAGGCGTCCAGCTACCAAGCTATTTGAAGACGTTAAAATTTGGTAGACATTTCAATCACACATTGGAAGGTGTCCGATTGCCAAGCAGCCTGCAGATCTTGACGCTTGGAGATGACTTCAATCAGAGCTTGGAGAATGTAAGCCTTCCGAGCAATCTGCAGATGCTAACGCTTGGAGACAATTTCAACCAGAGCTTAGAACGTGTTCGGCTGCCCAGCAACCTGCAGACTCTCAAGCTGGGCACGCAGTTTTGCCAGAGCTTGAGAAACGTTTGCTTGCCGACTAACCTGCAAACGTTGGAACTTGGCAACAGGTTCAACCAGAGCTTGGAGGGCGTCCAGCTGCCATCCAATTTGCAAACATTGATACTCGGTGAGGACTTCAACCAAAGCTTGCAAGGCATTCAATGGCCAATCAACTTGCAAAGATTGATGTTTGGCCGTAGTTTCAACCAGCGCATGGATGGTGTCCGCCTACCCAGCAGCTTGCTGGCTTTGACATTCGGCCGAAACTTCAATCAGCGATTAGACAACTTCATGTTGCCAAGCAGCCTCCAAGCCCTGACCTTTGGAGCTGATTTCAACAACAGCCTGGAAGGCGTCCAGCTCCCAAGCAGTCTGAGAACGCTAGCACTTGGCCCCAAGTTCACGAAGGGCCTAAAAGGCATCAACTTGCCGAGGGACCTCTTGATCATGAGACCTGGCTGTGTCCCTTGCCAAAGTTTGCAAGGCGGACGCTTGCCAAGCGATCTGGAGACATTGACATGTGGCCGTGACTTCTACCAATGCTTGAATCGTCACCAGATGCCGGGCAACTTGAAGACGTTTATCTTCGAGTTGAAAGATAACCAGAGCTTGGAGGGTGTTCCATTGCCAACGAACCTGCAAGCCTTAACATTAGGCTATAATTTTAACCAGAGCCTGGAAGGCATTCAGCTGCCGAGAAGTCTGCAGACATTGACCATTGGCCCTAACTTCAAAAGGAGCTTGGAAGGTGTGAGACTTCCACTCAACTTGCAGACATTGAGACTGGGTACGAGTTACTCCATGAGCTTGGAAGGCATCTGCTTGCCGAGCAGCCTGCAGACACTGGAGTTGGGTGGCAGCTTTAATCAGAGCTTCGAACACGTCCAATTGCCCAGCAAACTGCAGACATTGGTGTTTGGCGACAGTTTCAACCAGAGTTTGAAAGCTGTCCTACTCCCGCCCCGATTGAAGACACTTACATTTGGCCGTGATTTCAACCGGTGTCTGGAAGGTGTGGTTCTTCCGGACAACCTGCAGGCGTTGACGTTTGGAGATGATTTCAACCAGAGCTTGGAAGGCGTCCAACTGCCCAGCAGTCTGCAGACCCTGTCGTTTGGTCGGAGCTTCAACCAATGCTTGGAAGGTGTTTGCCTGCCAACGAGTTTGTTGAACTTGAACTTGGGCTATAAGTTCAATCAGAGCTGGAAGGGTGGTGGGCTGCCAGGCAGCCTGCAAGCTTTAACATGTGGCTTTGACTTCTACCAGAGCTTGGAAAGTGTTCAGGTTCCAGAGAACCTGCAGTCGTTGACGTTTCGCTCCGAGTTCGCTCCGAGCTTTGAGGGTGTGGCGCTCCCAAATGTTTTGTTGAAGTTCTCCTGCCGCGACATTCGGGTCAGCGTCCACTCGTGATGCTGGCAATGTTCCTTGAAAATTCAGCGGTAGTTGCATGCGCGCAAGCCTGGTGATGCCATCGATGTAGCAACCCAATGTTTTGCTGCACGGTGTGTGCAGTAGAATAACGCTAGCAAAGGGTCGGCAAGCTTTTGGGGTCTTCAGGAGTCAGGGTTTCGGGTTTAGGCTCTATGCGCCCTTCAGCGCAGTTCCTCTTCTTGGTTCACCAGCTTTTCGACTTGAATCCTTCAATGAAATACGGGAATACAGGAGCCAAAGAAAATTAGGCCATAAACATCCATAAGCTCTTGAGTTCTGAAGTTATGTTCGAAAGAAGGGCAACCAAGAGACAAAGAAAACTGTACAGAAAGGGTCCAGGCATCAGTGACTGCGAACTACCGGGCTTCTGATCTTAGTGCTTCAGGGAAGCGCCCCCCAAAGCAATGGGCCAAGCAATGGCCGATCACATGCATCCGCAGCCTGCAGAGGCCGTTCCGGACACCCCCAAAGCAATGGGCCAAGCAATGGCCGATCACATGCATCCGCAGCCTGCAGAGGCCGTTCCGGACAGGGCCAAGCGGACCGTGAGCGTTCGTTGCCTGGCAGGTTCCAGCTTTGAGCTGGAAGTCGATTCTGCCGAAACAGGGCGGGAGGTAGCCGAACGCATCGCTGCCGCAGTTGGCCACCCTGCAGGTTTACTTGTTCTGACATCCAGTGGCTGCGTCATCGATCAGTGCCAGCTGCTGCTGCACCAAGTCCAGCACGACGAGATCTGGTACGTGGTGCGCAGACTTGGCGCGGGTCTTGTCGCGATGCTTTGGGAACACCTGCTCGAAGAGAAGACTGTCAGTGATGTAGCTGCCCTGAACGAAACGATGTCACTCACGTTCGTCAATTTCAACCAGAGCTTGGAAGGCATCCAGCTACCCAGCAGCATGCAGAGTTTGACGTTTGGCCACGACTTCAACCAGAGCTTGGAAGGCATCCAGCTACCCAGCAGCTTGCAGAGTTTGAAGTTTGGCTACAATGGCTACAACTTCAACAAGAGCTTGGAGAGCATCCAGCTACCCAGCAGACTGCAGAGTTTGACGTTTGGCCCTTTCTGCGAATTCAACCAGAGCTTGGCGGGCATCCAACTACCCAGCAGCTTGCAGAGTTTGACGTTTTACGGCGAGAGCTTGAAGGGCAGCCAACTACCCAGCAGCTTGCAGAGTTTGAAGTTTGGCGGCAAGTTCAACCAGAGCTTGGAGGGCATCCAGCTGCCCAGCAGCCTGCAGAGTTTGACGTTTGGCTTCGAGTTCAACCAGAGCTTGGAGGGCATCCAACTACCCAGCAGCTTGCAGAGTCTGACGTTTGGTCGCGCTTTCAACCAGAGCTTGGATGGCATCCATCTACCCAGCAGCCTGCAAAGTTTGACGTTTGGTGACGATTTCAACCAGCCCTTGCAGGGCATCCAACTGCCCAGCAGCCTGCAGAGTTTGACGTTTGGCAACCTGTTCAACCAGAGCTTGGAAGGCATCCAGCTACCCAGCAGCTTGCAGAGTTTGACGTTTGGCCGCGAGTTCAACCAGAGCTTGGATGGCATCCGTCTACCCAGCAGCCTGCAAAGTTTGACGTTTGGCCACGACTTCAACCAGAGCTTGGAAGGCATCCAGCTACCCAGCAGCTTGCAGAGTTTGACGTTTGGCCGCGATTTCAACCAGAGCTTGGAGGGCATCCCACTGCCCAGCAGCCTGCAGAGTCTGACGTTTGGCTACAACTTCAACAAGAGCTTGGAGGGCATCCACCTACCCAGCAGCCTGCAGAGTTTGACGTTGGAGAACCTCATGTTCAAAAAGAGGTTGGTTGGTGGGATCAGCAGCCTGCAGAGTTTGACGTTTGGCAACCTGTTCAACCAGAGCTTGGATGGCATCCATCTACCCAGCAGCCTGCAAAGTTTGACGTTTGGCCTTGACTTCAACCAGAGCTTGGAGGGCATCCAGCTGCCCAGCAGCCTGCAGAGTTTGACGTTTGGCTTCAAGTTCAACCAGAGCTTGGAAGGCATCCAGCTACCCAGCAGCTTGCAGAGTTTGACGTTTGGCCGCGAGTTCAACCAGAGTTTGAAGGGCATCCAGCTGCCCAGCAGCTTGCAGAGTCTGACTTTTGGCTACAAGTTCAACCAGAGCTTGGAGGGCATCCAGCTGCCCAGCAGCCTGCAGAGTTTGTCATTTGGCGACAATTTCAACCAGAGCTTAGAGAGCATCCAACTACCCGGCAGTCTGCGAAGTTTCACTTCACCTTCACGAAGTTTTCGTGTAGACACGTGGTGATACGACCGTGCGCTGTGTTGCCGGGGTTCCTCCTTGTCTGCCCGTCTGGGCGGGGGGCCGCCTAGCCGCAATCCGTGCTGCCGGGGCTTTCCTCTCTCGGTGGGTTTTTATTCCACGTGCCTCAAGGGACACGGTTTTTTCCCACCTGTACTTTTCTCACATGTGTTTGGTGAGCAGTGTAGAGTATGTGGCGCACGTGTCGTTTGAAAGTCAACTCATGCTTCCACATCGTGCAAGAATGTGCAAAAAATTCTGAACCTGATACGCTTCGGTGTTGCGCGCAGGTGCATCCGATACGTTTCCTCCGAACAGCGGAAAGTGCATTCGAAGCTTGCCTCACACTGTGCCTGACACTTCGACTCCAACCCCCAGACCCCCCAGACCCTTCACCGTGCTTCTTCGCCAGGCAAGTCTAAGTCTAAGTGGGCCTTGGGATATTATCAAGCCCGGAAGTCCTTCGCTCTGAAGCCGAAAGGAGCAACTCTGCAAGCTTCTGGAGGAGGCCCCCGACTTCGAGGCACCTTGGGGTGGCGGTTCACATGCCTCATGCGGTACGGTTTGGGATTCTTTGTCGTGCAGTTTGAGATATATGAATTGTTGTGTGAGTTTCTGGTAGATTTTGTGGCAGATGCTGCAGAGTTTGCGTAGCCACGCCAAGGAGGCATCATGAAGTACTTCGCTCTCTGTTTCACGAAGGGTAGTGGGGTGGAGTTTCGGTGCGCCTTTGATGCAGGCACCATCGTCGACCGCCGTGGGCAGCTTAAGGTGTCATGCAGGCTCACCTCGTCCATTGCCGCAACCTTCGAGGAAGAGATCACAGTAGAAGACCATGAGATTCAGGCGTGGGAAAAGCGGCCGGTAGAAGAGCGTCTGCGCCAACTGAGGCCGGGCTTCCGGCGGAGGGTGAGGTGGAGCCGGGAGCTTGTGCCTCAGAGGTTCTCAGTTTTTGGGACCCACCTGTCCAGGGTAGTTTTGTTGAGCTATTTACAGTGAGGTGCCTTAGGACTTCAGGAATGGATTGGAAGTCACGTTTTGTGAAGTCGATCTATCTGCGATCGAGCGGAATGTGACAGCCATTTTTGCCCGCAAGGTGGATTCCATTGGCCACTGCGAGTCAGGAGCATGTATGTATGGCAAGCAGAGCCTCACATCCTGTTCATAATGTTAGGATGCTTGCGACCAGTCGCTACAAGGCAATGCCACGCAAGACCCGGAAAAGACAACCGAACTCTGGAGGCTCATTTCCAGTAAGACGCATCGATCACATCTGCTGGATCTGGCAGATGATCGCAGATGTTAACAGCTTCAGGTCGAACGAGCACTGAAGAAGTACAAGTGGTCATCTGCGACACGGCAGCAACTGGCAGCGCTATTTTCAATGCTCGCCTGGCTGCAGGGAAGGGCTGCCCCCCAAGTCACTCTTTCTGTGACTTGGAGTTGTGTCCTGGCTTGGGATCAGTTACGGGACGAGACACTGGTCCTAGCCGAACCGCACCCCGCACTCATCACCCTACACAATCTTCCGCAATCCAAACACTTTTCGGCGCATTCACCAGCATTCGCCTTCGGTCTGAAGTAAGTAAGTGCAAGGGAGAAGTAAACCTGCGGTTCGCTGCATCCGGTCGCATCTCGGGCCCGAAGAGTCTAAGGTGACTTCGCAGTTCATCCCAGGCCTTCCGGTTTCATCTTTGTAGCATCTCTCAGAGCACTTCGAATTCCAAAGACTCCACATTCTACCGTATCTTAGGCCATGTGGGCATGTTGGTGTAGTCTTGGGCGATCTCGTGCAGGCTACGGCGCCGGAGGCTCCAGCGATCACTTGTGGCCAAACCCTTGGATTCCCGAGTGCTTTTGGCCTCGGAAGGTTGAAGACTGGGGGAGGAATGCGAGGAATCCCGATGAATCTTTTTTAGATGGGTCCGGCTTCTAGGACTGCAAGCCGGTCCGGGCGTTGCGACGCCCAGCACCTAGGACGAAATGTACCTGGTTTTCAGAATTCCTGTCGTTCGAAGTCGGTCCTCGAAGCCCGAGATCCACTTCCCAAAGTCCCGGAACACGCAAGCGTGGAACTGCAAAGGCGCCTCTACTACGATGACAACTTCTTGACGACGCAAAAGGAACCCAATCGAGCGGCGAGAGCCCTGCTAGGCCTGACGTGCTCCTGGATGCTGTTTTTCGATTCTGGACGAGCTCCCAGTGTAACCACGCGATGTGCGCAAGGCTACCAGTCCTTGGGGAGCTTCGTCATTTCTTGCTTTGACAGGCACGTGGGATGCGTTGGGGGCGTGTGCAGCGACGGGCAAGGTCTTCCAGGGTCCAGGATTCTCAAGGCTTAGTGTTTTGTGTGGAGTTGAAGTGGCAGCGCCTAGGATTCCCGATGCAAGTCTGTTGGCGATCCGGCTGCTTGAAATTGCCAGGAGCACCGGGTCTGAGCGGCCAATCAGCCGGAAGGAGGCTTCTGAACGTTGGAGCTTTGAGAACAGCAACGAAAGCGAAGTCAGTCTAGGTTGGGAAGTTTCTGACATGGGGTAGGTGGCTTGGCGTGTGCTATGATACCACAATATTGAGGTGGCTGACCTCATTATGCGGCGGCAGCAAGGTGGTGATGCGGAAAGGCGGGTTAGAGCTGCCCGGGAAGTGGGTGCTGTAGTCGTTACGTGCGTGTAAGATTTGTAAGCACTTGGAAAGAAGCTCCGGTGAAGATGTCAGTTTCAGCGGAGACAATCGCCGAAGCCGGACGCAAATCCGAGAGCCAGGATCAGCCGCGAACACGAGGATCAAAAGGCCCGAATGGAAGCCTTCTCACAGCCGGCCTCTCAGCTTTCGGAACTGACGAGTGACTAGCTACTGCTAGGTTTGGTCTCGCTGAACTGCTTATTGTGCTGTTCCGAGACCCATCATTCGCGGTTACAATTCTAAGCGGAGAGGCATAAGACACAAACAGTTAGGCTAAAGTTGTAAAAGCCGCCAGCATCCCCGCACACGAAGAGTTGCTACGATCAAGTCGTAGGCTTCTTCATCCCCGGATCCGAGAAAGAGGCTGCCTCCGCCCGAAAGCGGAAATCCGAGGATGGGAGGGAAGACCGTGGAGCTGAGCGGCTGATCCGGCCCTTCCGATCTCTGCATCTCTCGGCAAAACTTCCACCAGTGGGAGTCTCCGAAAAAAGGGGACCCTAGTATAGTACCCTAAATAGTGGTACCCCTTATTTACTCTGGAAGGAAGCATGGCCGTGGCCGTGGCCCGCCAGAGTCAGAGTCAGAACCAGACTGTCGAAACAGCCGGGCTCAGCTTCACAGGCAGAGCTCCGCTGGTTAGTAGACAGGGTTCCCAGGCAAAGTCACGAAAGCTAGCCTCCGTGGCTAGCTGAGTTCCTTACCAACCGAAAGGTTGCATCTAGGGGTGTGGGGAAGGGCCCCCGGCCAGGTGGGCATTTTTTGCGCGTATTCGGGGCTATCCCCCACCTGGTGCTGGTTTTCGGCATTGCCCCGCCGGGTCCGTTTTGGGGTGTTTGAATGTGGTGCTTCGGACCGCTTCCGAGTGGAACAACGGCTCCCCGATGATGCTCATGATGCGCGTTTGTTGGCCCCAAGAAGCTCCCAATGATGCTCGTGATGCGGGCTTGTGGCTCGGATTGGGCTCCAATGATGTTCGCGATGTGTGCTTACTGGCTCCGATGCTTATGATGCTTGCAGCTCATGATGCTCACGCGTCGCCTACTTGTTCTATGTTGGGCACCCGACCTGAAGCCATTGGCTTCTAAGCATGATATACACATGTATTTATGGTATGTTTGTGTATATGTACATATAGATAAACATACGTGTGCATGAAGCTCTGATCCAACCTCTTCCATATACTGTGTTTCTACCATTTCCGCTGTTCTATGTTGGGCGCCCGACCTGAAGCCATTGGCTTCTAGGCATGATATACACATGTATTTATGGTATGTTTGTGTATATGTACATATATATATATACATATATATATATATATATATACGTGTGCATGAAGCTCTGATCCAACCTCACTGTTTTTTACTATTTCTGCGCTTGTTGGCTCGGATTGGGATCCAAGAGGCCCCCAGTGATGTTCACAATGTGGCTTGCTGGCTCCGCTCACGCGTCGCGTACTTGTTCTATGTTGGGCGCCCGACCTGAAGCCATTGGCTTCTAGGCATATATAACATGTATTTATCTTAGTTCTCCAATACAAAACGTTTAAGCTTAAACTTTTGGGGTTCTTATAGTTTAGCAGTAGTTTGAAAGTTTAACCTTTTATTTCTGTGGCTATTGGGGGAGTAAGTTATGGTATGTTTTTGTATATGTACATATATATATATATATATATATATATGTGTGTGTGTGCATGAAGCTCTGATCCAACCTCTTCCATATACTGTTTTTATACCATTTCATAATTTCATACTATACTAGTACTCGAATACACAGTCATATGTAATAGCAGCTGCATCTCGACGAACAAGAAGCGCAAGCAGAGCATGGCTTGGCCCGGTGGGTGTCACCCACATTGAGGGGGATGGTATTGGTGCTCATTCGAGGGGTTCAAGAGTTAGGGTTTCTGTATTTGGAGTTCAGTAGGCGTGTATGCATGCTTGCCTTCACTGGAAAAGCCTCGGTTGTTAACGCTTCTAGCTTTCGTCCCAGTCCCTCCTCCGCAAGTCATTCTTTGGTCGAGGAGCTGCCAAAGGTGCAGAGGAGGTTCTCGCTGCTGATTGCCAGGGAACCCTTGCAGTAGGACTCCGCAAAGACCGCCCGACCCAAAAGGGGGGCGCGCCAAGAGCCAAGAGCAGTGCTTGATTGTGCCCATCCTGCTCCTGACAACTGTTCACATTGCAAGGAAAGAATCGTGCTGTAGCCACATCAGCTCCAAGTCTCGGGACCTTAGCGGGGCCTCGGCGTCATGGCCGCCATCGGAAAGCCGGAGGTGTCAGAGCACGGCGAGGTGACGTGTCGGCATTTGCTTCATCTTCGACCTACAGGTGTTCAGACTAGGCCAACTGATACTGTTTGTTGAGCCGGCCGCTTCACGATGACATTGGATGCATCAATCTCGGTTGGAAGATGTGCTTGTTCTTGGTGTGTTTTGCCAAGCTGAAGCGGTACACGGCGAAGCCAAGCATCCGTGATCGCAACAGTTCTCAGCGACATGATGACACCATGCGTAAAAACGTTCGAGGTGCACTGGAAGAGAGGGCGCTCGTCCGAAGGTCAAACTCCCTCCCTTCCTGACAATTCTGCCTTGGTAAGTTTGCGGTGCGAGTATTCTGGTTCTCTTGTCCTCCTGTCGCTTGTAGCATCTGGCAGCGGTTCGTCATCAGGTGTTCAAGACTCGCCCCTACGTGGATGGTGCCAAGACCTTGATTGGTGGCCAGGCAGGGAGAACATCGATGCCGACACAAGCTGTAGTACATGCCTCGTTGGCAGTCCGGCACACAGAATGCTCAAACATGTCCATCATATCTCAGTTGGACCCTGCGACCTTGTCATCTGAAGACTCAACTTATCGCAACTCAGAAGCTCAAGGTCCTAAACCTCACGTCCCCACGCCAAAGGAGCCCCAAAGAGCCCGTAAACCCGCAAGACCTATGACGATACCATCGCCCGCAGCACGCTCTCAAGCCCAAATCTTCCATCGGCTGAATAATCCCTCAACTGACCCCCCTCTTTTCTTCAACCCATTACATATATAATTATATAATTATATATATATATATGTATACACACATATATATATATATATATATATATGTATATTATTTTTATCTTCATATTATATCATATTATATTATATAGTAGATATATTTTTACATAATTCTATATTATAGATTGTCAATAAATTCCTACCAAGCCCTCATGTTTTGCCGTCCTTTTCCCTTGGCAGCTGCTGGTAGAGGTGAAGCCTTGGCCGGGCATCTTCTCCGAGATCTTTTCCCCGGTCTACTGCTCGGAGACCGGGGAGCGCATCTGCATAGGCCCTTATGGGGCCCAGAAAGGGGCCCCTAAAAAAGGGGTCTATAAGGGTTACTATAAGGGATCTATAAAAGTTACTATAATAATGTAGGCCCCATAATTATGGTACCCTTATAGTATAGTAACCTTCTATAAGACATCGGGATGTAGGACTCTTAGGGTCTTCTTGCCGGAACCTCTTGAGTGACCCTCGGCGCGGGGGAGTGGCCTCTGTCAGGCCGACAGGCCACGATGTCACCCAAGGAGTCGGTCCAGGCGGTGCAGGCGGCCGCGAAGGCGGGACCTCAAGGAAACGGACTCAGCTGGGCTCCGGCTTTGAAGCTGCTCCTCAGAGCTCAGGCCTGGGACCTCGGCCGGGGCGAGTGGCCCCGGAAGACCCTGGAGCAGCGCGTGGCGGCGGTGCGGAGCCCGCAACAGTGAACATAGTCTCGTGTTCTTGGCTCCTCACAGCTGTCAGGTGGAGAAGCTCATGGGAAGGTTGAAGGACACCATAAGCAGAGCACTTCTGAAACTGGCAGCCCAGAAGGATTTTGTCACGTCGGCCTGCAGGAGATCAGGGAAAAGATTGTCACGGTCTTGCAGTGGGAGATCTGCAAGAACGATGCCTGGCAGCAATTCGAAACCACGGATTCTACGGACCTGACCCATGACATGAATCTTGTCCACAAGGTTTGCAGCCCTTGTATAGTCTAGTCATTTCTTGAATCCTCGAGTCATGCGCAGAGTCGAGGGAAGCCGTCCTACACCACATGCCGATGTCGTCGGAGTCGAGAACTATGATGATAAAGAGGGAACCGCTCCTTACAGTCGATCTGAACGATTCAGGCTACCTCGTGTTCAAACACCCCGGACACAACAAGCCCTTCGAATCCTTGTTTGCCTGACCGGACGTGTCTTAAGATGTCGATGGTCATACAAACAAGAAGCCCGGGCATTTATGTAAGACTATGGAGGCTGCTTGTCACAAGTCGTCTTGAAAGTTTGGGGAGGGTTCACCGGCAGCAAACACTTGCCGGACCCTGGACTGCTGGCCCTTTGATTGCGTAATCTTTTGGTCAGGATGCCGATGCGGCGAAGGACTCCGCAGAAGTAGTCCTGCTGAGAGGTGGAGTCCAGGCAATGCAGGCCTTGCGGCAGGATTTCTCAGAAGACTCCATCCGCGAAGCTTGCGGGAAAATTAGCTGCATGCTCGGAGTGTTGTACCGCCAGCTTTGATGGCTGCAAGGAGTTCGATCGCACCATTGACTTCATCCAGGCTTGCTTCCTGGGGAGATTTTGTAGGGAACTTTCGACGGAAATCCTAAGTCAAAATGTTGAAACTCTGAAATCAGCTAATTAACCTGGCTTCGGCAAAAGTTTCTGATATGCTTCTTCACGTCTCAGCTTCCATGTTCACAGCAAATTCGCAAGTTCTTGCACAACAGACATTGAACCACGTTAGGGTTTCGTCCACACGCATCAGTCTCGCTTGCAGCCCAGATTGGCCCACACAGCAACTTGTTCTCCTCCCCTGAATGAGCAGAGACTGGAACCCTTGCTTTCAAGCTCTTGCAACTCATAGGGCACAGCCATGCAGCAACAAGCAGCACGCAGCATGATCCCCAGCGTGCAGAGACACGAAGGGAACCCCCGGCATCTCTGGTGGCAGGCCCTGATCGCGACAGCTCGGAGGATGGACTCGACTGGCCCAGTCTGCCAGGCGGACAAGCCCGAAGCGCGTTCATTTGTGCAACACGTCAGTTTTGAATCAGCACAAAGGCTCCAGGCGAAGTATCTAGCATGTCCAGTCTGGCTTCCAGAGCTGTGCACCTCGCGTTGATTCCCGAGTGGACAGGAGCACTGGAGAATAGACATGAGGCTGTAGCATTGTGTGCCTGTGCGTTCCATGGATGCCCTCAGGAAGGAGTGCATGCTCTGCTGAAGCGCTCTCCAGTGGGCGCAAGGTGCTCAGGAAGTCTTGTCCAAATTGCCACGCTTTGGATTGTTATTGTGAGCATGATCTTGTTGTTGCTGATGATGATGGTGATGACGTTGTTCTCGGTGTGTTCGACGATAGCGATGATGTGGACGTGCAGGACGCAATTGCGATGTTCACAGGGGTCTGCACTGTGATGACGGCCTTGAGGACGATGATGATGATGGGGATGTAGATATGGTGCTGATGATGATCGTGTTAACGTGAATGTTGATGTTGCTGTTGCCGTTGCCGTCGTCGTCGTCGTTGTTGTTGTTGTTGTTGTTGTTGTTGTTGTTGTTGTTGTTGTTGTTGTTGTTGTTGTTGTTGTTGTTGTTGTTGTTGTTGTTGTCGTCGTCGTCGTCGTCGTCGTCGTCGTCGTCGTTGTTGTTGTTGTTGTTGTTGTTGTTGTTGTTGTTGTTGTTGTTGTCGTTGTTATTGTTGTTGTTGTTGTTGTTGTTGTTGTTGTTGTTGTTGTTGTTGTTGTTGTTGTTGTTGTTGTTGTTGTTGTTGTTGTTGTTGTTGTTGTTGTTGTTGTTGTTGTTGTTGTTGTTGTTTGTGTTGTTGTTTGTGTTGTTGTTTGTGTTGTTGTTTGTGTTGTTGTTGTTGTTGTTGTTGTTGTTGTTGTTGTTGTTGTTGTTGTTGTTGTTGTTGTTGTTGTTGTTGTTGTTGTTGTTGTTGTTGTTGTTGTTGTTGTTGTTGTTGTTGTTGTTGTGGTGATTGTTGTTGTGCCGGTGGAGGTGGTGGTTGTTGCTGCTGTTGTTGTGGCTCGTGGCCTGTGGGGTGTGGGCGGTGGGCTGTAGAATGTAGACTGTGGGCAGTGGGCTGTTGGTCGGTGGTTGTTGTTGTTGTTGTTGTGGTTGTTGTGGTTGTTGCTTGTTGCTTGTTGCTTGTTGGTGGTTGGTTGCTGGTTGCTGGTGGCTGGTTGCCGGTTGTTGGGTGTTGGTTGTTGGTTGTTGTTGGGTGTTGTTGGTCGTGGTGGGTTGTTGTTGGTTGTTGTTGTTGGTGCTTGTTGTGGTTGGTGGTTGTTGTGGTTGGTTGATGGTTGTTGATGGCTGTTGGGTGGCACGCGCGGGGTGGTGCGTGTGGGGTGTTTGTACGGCAGGAGGGGAGGCGCACGGCTGCTGCTCGGGGGCTGTCCAGTCTACGGTTAAGCCGCAGAGGGCCAGAGTTGCCCCTGTGTAAAAGGGTGCGAGAGTGTGGCACCGGGTTATACTCGTGGTGCGGGCAATGGAAAACCCAGTGCGCGCTTCCACCGGGAAAGGCAGCCCGACAACCAATACTGGGATGGGGACCCAGTATGTCATTGCACCTCGTCGTCGTCGTCGTTGTGGTGGTGGTGGTGGTTGTTGTTGTTGGTACAGACAAAAACAGCAGCCCGTACTTGTTGTTAATTAGAAGCAATTGGGAATGCTTCCGGCGACCGCATAGGGTGCCTGTAGAGTTTTGGGAAGTGCAAGCCATGGTTTACACAGCAACTGCACCATCATAGAAATGCGGAGTAGGCCGGGTGGTTGTTGTAAAAGGAGGGGGCTGAAAACAACAGACGGGGCTCCAGTTTTTGCCTCTACTACAGGGGGTAGAGACAAATGCACCAGCGAAATCAGGACTTTGTCCCTACCCCCTGTAGTAGAGGCAAAAACTGGAGCCCCGTCTGTTGTTTTGACACCCCCCCCTTTACAACAACCGCCCACATTACACCACATTTCCACCACAGGTATAGGAATCTGCGATATCCAGAAGGGGTTCTGAGGGGTGTTGGAAGGGCTTGTCTGGAATTTTGAGGGGTTTGCGGGGTTTGCATTGGATACCCATACACTCAAGACTATAGTTACCAGTTACTATACAGTAGTTTGTACAGGCCTCGCAAATTCATAATCTGCACAGCGGGGAACTGAAATACACACCAAATCCATTGAAAATACACACCAAAATCATTGAAATGCACACCAAATCGACTGAAATGCACACCAAACCACTGAAATACACACCAAATCCATTGAAATACACACCAAATCCACTGAAATTCACATTAAATCCACTGAACTACACACCAAATCCATTGAAATGCACACCAAATCCACTGAAATACACACCAAATCCACTGAAATACACACGAAATCCATTGAAATGCACACCAAATCCACTGAAATACAGACGAAATCTTTGAAAATACACACCAAACAGTATACATCAAAGGCATCCACAGGCACTGTGTTGTTGTTGTGTGTGGGGGGGGGGGGTTAAAACAATATGACGGGGCTCCTGTTTTTGTCTCTACCTCATGTACAGACAAAAAGCAGACATATGGGTTGACGGGGCTGCAGTTTTTGTTTGTACCTTCTTGTTGTTGTTGTTGTTGTCGTTGTTGTTGTTGTCGTTGTTATTGTTGTTGTTGTGGTGATTGTTGTTGTGCCGGTGGAGGTGGTGGTTGTTGCTGCTGTTGTTGTGGCTCGTGGCCTGTGGGGTGTGGGCCGTGGGCTGTAGAATGTAGACTGTGGGCAGTGGGCTGTTGGTCGGTGGTTGTTGTTGTTGTGGTTGTTGTGGTTGTTGCTTGTTGCTTGTTGCTTGTTGCTTGTCGGTGGTTGGTTGCTGGTTGCTGGTGGCTGGTTGCCGGTTGTTGGGTGTTGGTTGTTGGTTGTTGTTGGGTGTTGTTGGTCGTGGTGGGTTGTTGTTGGTTGTTGTTGTTGGTGCTTGTTGTGGTTGGTGGTTGTTGTGGTTGGTTGATGGTTGTTGATGGCTGTTGGGTGGCACGCGCGGGGTGGTGCGTGTGGGGTGTTTGTACGGCAGGAGGGGAGGCGCACGGCTGCTGCTCGGGGGCTGCCCAGTCTACGGTTAAGCCGCAGAGGGCCAGAGTTGCCCCTGTGTAAAAGGGTGCGAGAGTGTGGCACCGGGTTATACTCGTGGTGCGGGCAATGGAAAACCCAGTGCGCGCTTCCACCGGGAAAGGCAGCCCGACAACCAATACTGGGATGGGGACCCAGTATGTCATTGCACCTCGTCGTCGTCGTCGTCGTTGTGGTGGTGGTGGTGGTTGTTGTTGTTGGTACAGACAAAAACAGCAGCCCGTACTTGTTGTTAATTAGAAGCAATTGGGAATGCTTCCGGCGACCGCATAGGGTGCCTGTAGAGTTTTGGGAAGTGCAAGCCATGGTTTACACAGCAACTGCACCATCATAGAAATGCGGAGTAGGCTGGGTGGTTGTTGTAAAAGGAGGGGGCTGAAAACAACAGACGGGGCTCCAGTTTTTGCCTCTACTACAGGGGGTAGAGACAAATGCACCAGCGAAATCAGGACTTTGTCCCTACCCCCTGTAGTAGAGGCAAAAGATGGAGCCCCGTCTGTTGTTTTGACACCCCCCCTTTACAACAACCGCCCACATTACACCACATTTCCACCACAGGTATAGGAATCTGCGATATCCAGAAGGGGTTTTGAGGGGTGTTGGAAGGGCTTGTCTGGAATTTTGAGGGGTTTGCGGGGTTTGCATTGGATACCCATACACTCAAGACTATAGTTACCAGTTACTATACAGTAGTTTGTACAGGCCTCGCAAATTCATAATCTGCACAGCGGGGAACTGAAATACACACCAAATCCATTGAAAATACACACCAAAATCATTGAAATGCACACCAAATCGACTGAAATGCACACCAAACCACTGAAATACACACCAAATCCATTGAAATACACACCAAATCCACTGAAATTCACATTAAATCCACTGAACTACACACCAAATCCATTGAAATGCACACCAAATCCACTGAAATACACACCAAATCCACTGAAATACACACGAAATCCATTGAAATGCACACCAAATCCACTGAAATACAGACGAAATCTTTGAAAATACACACCAAACAGTATACATCAAAGGCATCCACAGGCACTGTGTTGTTGTTGTGTGTGGGGGGGGGGGTTAAAACAATATGACGGGGCTCCTGTTTTTGTCTCTACCTCATGTACAGACAAAAAGCAGACATATGGGTTGACGGGGCTGCAGTTTTTGTTTGTACCTTGTCCTTGTTGTTGTTGTTGTTGTTGTTGTTGTTGTTGTTGTTGTTGTTGTTGTAAGCCTCTCGGCTCAGGAAAGGTCAGGCTAGTACAGTTGCCTTTTTCCTTTCTTGCCATGGCATCTGCCAGCGCCTGAGCAGTCCCGGTCCCAAGTCCGGGAGGGAGTATTAGATTTACAGCTCTCTAACATCTTCCAGAGGTGAGGGTTGTCGGTATTGCGAAGCCGACAGGAGCCGTACTCAACATGAGTGCTGCGAAACAGCCTAGTGGTTCGACCAAGCATCAGCCCGTTCCTAAAGGGAAGGGAAAACGCTCTTATCAAAGGGCAGCACGTAAAGCTCTGCTTGAAGGTAGTGCGGTCTACAAGGGAAGGACGATGTCGTCAACAGAGCTTGGAGTTGCTCCGGAACATGTAAAGCCCACCAATCCCGGCAGAAGGACTCGGCCTTCAAAATTTACAGAAGATAAGAATCTCAGCTATCTATCCTGGAACGCAGGATCTCTCACAACAGCAGTTTGGGAAGAGTTACTCTCCGTACTGCAAAGTGCCGCATTTCAGGATGTGAAGCTAGTAGCGATTCAGGAAACACACTGGAGGGGCTCTTGGCAATTCAGCAAGTCAGGCTGGCATGTGATCAGCTCTGGCTCCACAGGGGAGAAGGGAGCAGGGGTTCTCATAATGGTGCACTCCACGCTGTGCAAGTCACAGGATCTTCGCTACAACGAGGTAGTACCAGGACGAGTTCTCCAGGTCCGGGTGCCGAGCAAAGGCATCTCACTGGATGTCTTCAGCTGTTATCAATACGTTTGGCGCTCTAAGGAGACAGTCGCTCAGAATAAGGAGACCCGGAAGCAGACCCTTCACGCCCTAAGTAAGTCCATCCGAGCTGTACCCAATCGCAACACTCTCCTTGTGCTAGGAGATTTTAACTCCTCGCTAAAAACTGACAATAAACATGT